TGGTGGCTATCTTCATGTTAATTGGACAGCTGCATATACCACTTGGAATGATAAGGCATATTTTCTTTACAATGGTAATAAAACAGTAAGGTTCACAAAACATTAAAAATTGTGTGTGTGGTGATACATCAGAATTGGAAATATTTTTCATTAGCAAGTCTCAAGGAAGGAGAAGTATATTGACAGCAAAGGAACAGCATAATATATCCACTTTGATCAAGCACTTCTATACTTTCAGCTTCTCACCCCTGGCCTATTTTTTCCCAAATCCAGTGTACTAATTGTCACTTAGTAGGTAATTTTCAACTCTTCTCTAAGACATTGTACTTCTGGAGAGTGCCAAAGTTTTTTAACACAGACAAAAAATAACTTGTTTTTCTCTAAGCTCATACTTGGAAGCTGCTTTGGATGGAATCAATAAATAAATTTTAAAAAAAAATAAATAAAAAAGGAACAGAATATTTCAGTCCAGGCAGTTTAGGACTGGCAAAAGTACTAAACCACTGGGGAAAAAAAAGGGTCTTTTAATAGAAATTATAAGGTAAGCTTAAACTACTATGTAAGCAGTGCTACTAGTCCTTAAAATGTTTTAAAATTTTCGTTGCTTGAGCTTTAATCAGATCCCAGCTGGTGGTGTTGACTGACATATCATAGGGATTTCTCACAGATTCCACAGAAACAAAAACACAAGTACAACCTTCCCCAGAAAGCCTTCTTCCCAGTGCTGTGTCCAGCCCTGCCCGTCCCTCAGTATAAACAAGTTTTTTAAAAATCCTCAGTTATTTCTAGCTTCTCAACTCCAGTTACAGTCCATGGACCTGATGTTTACTTTTAAAGTTCTGTGAGATCTTGATTCCAACTATTTAGGAGGCTGCTTCTTCCAAACCAATCATCATAACAGGTGAGATGAGCTCAACCGCCTTGGCTGTCACCACCTTGTTTTTTAGGATTTGAAAAGGGAACATTCTGATCTTTGTCTCCAATATATGTCACCTGGAAGAATATGATTGCTTTCAGAACATCATGCAATGAACTTTTTTGCATGGTTTGGTAAAGTGTTATTTTGGTTTGGTGTTCTGGGTTTTTTTGCACTGCAGATGTGCTTCACATTCCACAGCTTCATTTAACTCAACAAATAGTGTTAAAGCTGTCCTAAGTGCTTCTGCCTAAATTCAAAGACATTTGTAAACTGTTTAAATCTAATGGAGTGAAAATTGGTGTAATTTACCCTTCCTTTGCAACTCCTGTAAATTACACAATATAATTTCTCTTTTACTGCACAATACAATTTCCCTCTTACTAACATATAATTTAAAATTTGCTTGCATATTGCCTTTAAATCAGACATTCTACATTTTTAATAAATATTATACAAGACAAATAATCCCAAGTATACTACATGTAATAAAATCTCTTTTGTAAAATATTCACTCTAAGAAAAATCACACAAACTAGCATGGTAAAGGCCAGGCTACGTATATCATACCACTAAACCATTTTCTGTTTCTCTTGATATGCTTTTGTTGGAGTGTGTTTACTAGCATACTGATCTGCCTTTCATGTTCTCCTCTTCACTGCTGTTCAGGATTTTTAAAAGAGCTGCACTACTTTTCTATTTCACTTCGAAAGGTGTTGAGAAAAAGTATCAGAGTAAGATGATTCCTTATGAGCCTCTGTGCATGACTACTCTTGAAATAAAGATCTATGGTAACTAGAAATTAACTAGGTAACAGGAGATTAGGTTTTTGTTTCTAGAACACAAGTACAAATCTGGTAAAAAAAAAAAAAAACAAACAACTAAAACATAAGTGGGGGTGGGGTAGTGCACACAGACCACAAGTCAACAAACAAACAAAACCTCTACCCTCAAATCAAGAAAATCTACAGCTTCCCAACCAGAAATGATACTTCATGCTTTAGGACACATGATAGCTTGCACCGAATCTTCAAATTGCACTGTGACTAAAAATTGACAAGAACAAAAATGATGGATCGAGCAAATAAAAATTTCAAGGAAAATGTGTTTTTCAAAATTTTATGGAAATTCCCTGCCTATTACTTTTTACTATTACTACATGTAGTGTTTAATACTAAGCTGTAAACAAGAAAATGCTAGTAGAATAGGTGTCCAGAGTCCCTAATTTGGATTTAAACTAATATACAATCTACTGTCATATCTATGTGTTATTTTATTTTTAAAAAAGCATCTTATCATAAGAAAAGTCAGGTCACAAACATAAAAAAGGCCCTAAAGGACTCCACACACCAAAAATTCCAAACAAGTGAACAATGCAGCTACAATTTTTTTCTTCTTTGGCAGTCACTTTTCCACTTTTTTCAAAGATTTGCCATGTATTTATCAGAAGAGCATGTTCTCATTGTAGAACACTCTCATTTTGGTATTTTATTTTTAGTTGCCTATTAAAGTGCCAAAGACACTGGGCATACATTTAAACATCAGTTTAGAACTAGTCTTATCAGATACAGAGATCAGCTTACCATTGATATGTAAAGAGGTACAAACCCTCCACTTTTTCACATAGCTTGAGTGTGTCTAGACATAGTTTTACCCATCTTGGAACGCAACCTGTACCAACTCCTATGTAATACATGTGGACTCTTCAGAAACTTTTCTGTGACATGATATTTTTCGAAATTGCAAATTACAACTGTTTTTCAGTCTATTGTATCAGGAAATACATTTCACGTTTCTCACTTTTGGAAAGAGAAAACTCCTTACACAAATATTGCACAGAATCACAGAATGGCAGGGCTTGGAAGCGACTTCTGGAGATCATCTAGTCCAACTCCCCTGCCAAAGCAGGCTCACAGAGAGCACTTTGCACAGGATCACATTCAGGCAGGTTTTAAAAGTGTCCAGGGAAGGAGACTCCACAACCTCCCTGGGGAGCCTGTTCAGGGCTCCATCACCTTCACAGTAAAGTTTTCCATTATGTTTAGGCAGAATGTCTTATGTTCTACTTTGTGCCCATTGCCCCTTGTCCTATCACCAGGCACCACTGAAGAGACTGGTCCCATCCTCTTGACCTCCAGCCTTTAGATATTGATAAGTATTAAGAAGATCCCTTCTCAATCTCTCCTCCAGGATAAATAGACCCAGGGTTCTCAGCCTCTTCTTGTATGAGAGAAAGCTAAAACCAGAAGTTACTTAGTTAAAAGTTTTTTTCCTATTTTTTATAATGATTCAGTATGAAACTCTATTTTTGAACACAGGAGAACTACACTAGAATGCAGCTCTAATTCTACTAGAATGTAGCTGTATATCCAAAATCCTATGCAGTAGTAAATGAGATGCGTGATGTGAAAACAAACTTTTAGTACACAAGATGGAAAAAAAAAATTTACCATCACTTACTCGCATCAGAATAATTAATGTTAATAGCACTTACCGAACTAATGTTCTGTTGATTTTTCTTTACTCTTTCAATCTCTGGAGTCTCTGTTACAGCTGTGCCAGCTCCTATTTCCTTCTTATAAAACACCTTCATTATCCCAAAATAAAAAAATAATTATGAGACTCTTAGCAATGCAAATACAAGATCTCATAAAAGGGCTGGGTAATTTGCCAAGTTCCAAATTTGTCTGACTATAAATCTTGCTAAGAAAGCAAACACTTTAATTTTTCATACATCAATTACATACCAATTATCAATAACAACATTCTGTTTGTTTTCAGCTATAGCCCAGATAACCTATTATCGTCCTTTAGAATGACCTCAAACATTTGTAAGTACTTGTAACAACAGTTTTAATAATTTAGATCACAGTCTAGAAGCATTTACAAACACAACTTTATGCTTGAGTAATCCCACTCATTTCAATGGATTTGAACAGGCATGCACATGCAAGATTTGAATTGGGTTTTTAATCTTCAGATCTTACAGTGGTCTGAGAAGTGAATAGACATGATTTCTAATTTAGCAACCTAGTAAATGGACATAATTCATGATGAAATAATCACAACTCCAGAGCTACAACCCAAGTCATGCAAGTTTTTGACTTCTGGGTTCAAGCCAGAAAGCTGAAGACTGCATTTAAAAACAAAGCTCGCTTCTGAAAAGATACAGACACCATATATATACTTCTTCTCTCTGCTTCAGTTGTTTCAGTAAAGGATAAAACACAAAGCACATCAGTAGAATCAATCCAAGTTACTGAAAGAGACAATAAACAACTGCTCCACAAATTCAAAATGTGGCTATAATTTAAATAGCCATGGAGCATCAGTTCATTCTACAAAACTCCTAAAGAAGTTTTACTTGAATTTCAGTATTTGGTGTCACAGCTGTTGCCATTCCAGTATTTCCAGGCTGGCAGTGTAAGAACAGGTCTGATCCTAGAGTTCATAAAATAAATCTCCACCATTTAGTATTTCTGCTTTTCTTAAACCAAGATGTATTTAGCTTTTTTTTTTTCCCCCTAACAGAAAAGCATCATTCTTCATGCATTTCTCCTACTTCCTTGAAGTCCTCTGTTTTGCTAAATATTCTAGAGGAGAGAGAATTATTTACATCCATAACTCACTTCTTAAATATTCAGAAAACCTTTAACAGTGTAGAATCTTGTCTCCCCATGTGAGAACAGAGACAGTTTATGAGTAAGAACTTGAAAAGTCTTCTGCACCAACATGTCAGTACAAGGTAGAAAGATTTACACAGTGGTCTGAAGTAAAATATACTTCCCTCCTCTACCAAGGAGGGAGTGGTAAAAAATATTTGAACTGGGAATTTTTCTGGGAAAGAGATGATGGTGCAGTAAATATCCTATTGTAAAATGAGCCCTATCTGACAAATGAGCTAGCAAGCTAAAAGCAGCACTGATCTTATCTGCAGGGCTAGCCACGGTTTTTTTGTCCCTTAAGGGAGGAATACTTGAGACCAATTCCAAAAATCAAAAGCCCATTAGGGGTCATTAATATTTTTATACTGGAGCGACTCCCAGCTATATCTTAACTTAATAAAAAGTAAATTACCTTTATAATCTAAATTGTACAGAATGCAGAAACATTAAAATGTAGAGAAGGAAAAATTGATAATTCCATCACAGTTATAAACTGCTTTCCTACATTTGGAGGATCCAGTTCAAAAACAGAAAAAAAGGATGATGACAAAATAAAGCAAACAACTCACCTCAAAGGCAAAATATTTTTATTTCATATTTTCTAGTACACTTACAAAGAGAATAACTGTCAAGCTCAGCACTGAAAGCACAGACTGGTTTACAGGACTGCAAAGTGTTCGGATGGGTCAGAGGCCTGTCAAGGCATAATTAAGTAGTGGAAGATTTTTCTGCGCCTGCTACCTAAATGTTAGTGAGTCAATATTGCCAGACCTGCTGACCTGCTTGAGGACTCAATCAAAGCTATCAAAGACTGGAGCAGGAAGGAAAGCTGATCAGTAGATGCTAGCTTGGGTCCTCTCCATTACCTGGTGTTTTGGTGTAGCATGTTAGGATGCCAGTGACATGAGATAGGGTGCTAATCACAGTCACACCATGCAGCAAAGCACCATTCAGAAACAAATGGCAACAGATTACAAGAAACAAAATTTGGGCCAGTGAGCCTGTCAACAGCTCCTATTAGAAAGGTGCAGTTTTCAGATGCTCTCACCTGAAGGAAGAAAAGGAGCAGATAATGCTGGAAAATGTTACAGGAGACACCACTGCCTAGAGCAGCCTCAGAGAGCTTTCTCATCTCCTCTCCCCCCAAGCCTCTTGCTGCCCTACTGACGCTGCAGTGATACAGGATAGCTGCAGGTAAACACCTCTGAGAGAAACTAATTGCGCTCGTACTCATGTGGACTTGGAGAAGCTGAGAATATCTTTAAGTCAAAGAACAACATCTGCACCAGATAATATTAAAATATTTAAGTAGCTTATATTCCTTTCTCTCAAACCACTGGCTTTTTTAGTACTACTTACTCTGCCATAAAAACCAGACACTAACTGGATAGTCTTTGGCTCCAGAGGCTATATTTACTACTCTTCTCTGTCATACTACAAGCAAAGCCAGAATTACAAAGAGCAGAATTGATGGGCCCAAAAAGGAAATGGAACTGAATGCATCCCAAACTGGGCAATTTTAGGGATCTAAGATCATAAGTTATATTTAGGCAACAACTGAAGTTTAAATACAGTATAAAATTTAAAAACATATCCAGTATAACATAAAATCATTAGACATATATATTTATGAAACCTGATATGTTCTGATTTTATATGCGAATCTTGATGCTCTGTACATATGATAGGAAACAGATGAAAAATATTTTATGCACAGTAACAAGCCTTAGATTGTTTTTGTCCTTTTAAATGAAGTACTTCCTGAGGCATGATGGAAAAAGAAAAAAAAAAATTCTTCATTCAAAAATAACTATGGCTTGGCAAGGTGGTATAAGTGGTTTAGCAAATTAAAATAACAGTGTCACACCTAGAAAAACTGGGTAAGTTTTTTACTGAAAAAAATGAGTGATACAGCTTTTGCCAGTAAAATTATGCAAATGATTCAAAGGACATTTACTCATAAGTTTCTTATTTCATGCTGCAGCACAAGAGAGCCTATCTGAAGTGAAAAACATCTGAAAAGTTGCAAGCGAAGGGAGAAACAGTATTACTCACTGAACTGATGTTTTTCTGAGTGCTTTTTATCCTCTCCATCTCTGGGGTGTCTAGGACAGCAGAGTAGTAACAGAGCATCTTCTCTGCCTCATCTTTGTACATTTTCTGAAAAACAATTTTAGAATGTGTGTTTCCTGCTTTCTTGGGCTCAGAATATCTGGACTGCAACAAAAGATCCTCATTGCTGATGAGCCTCAATGTTCTTGTATAGTATTTATTTCAATCTTTCTCTTCAATAATATTGTTAAAATTGTCTGTGGGACACCTGATGCTCTGTCCCACACTAAAAATATATTTTCATTAGGTAGACAGATACAAATACATATACCAAAATAGCATATTCTCATATATAGTAACTATATATAAATAATATATTCTCCTATATATTATACATTTTCCCTTCACTGTCAGGATACAAATCCTTCTCATTATGGAAAAAGACCTGCAAGTAGATGTTATCAAAATCAATTTACATGGCATGACAGGTCTAGATACAAATAAGAATCAGGCAATAAGATTTCTTTTACTACATGTAATTAATTTAATGTGGGTATGAAAGCCTCTACAGATCTAGAGAAGTGTTTTAAGCAACATATGACAAGCACTCATTGTTACACAGAATTGAAACATTCAGCCCTTGAACTATGCCTACCTGGCTTGCTATTTCTGACGCTCTTTTTACCCGTTGTATTTCAGGAGTATATGGGCCAATTTGCATCCCTTTTCCTATAATTTCAGTCTCCAGGTCCTTTTTATATTCTTTCTGAAGGAAAAAAAAAAAAAAAAAAGGGGAAAAAATGAAGGGGAAAAAAAGCCATAACTAATTCTACAGCTATTTGTACATGCTGTCTTCAAAGCTATTCTGATAGAACTGGTCAGACTAAAACAAATCCTTCAGTTTCTTTAATTTAATTTTCTTATTGTGCACTGCTGATTCTTTTTAGATCAAGTATGTTCAAGAAGATTTTATATTTTTAACACCTCATTGTGTTTTACTTCCTAAATGATCTGATGAGTTTCATTCTGTACTCACCTGGCTCACAATTTCAGAAGCTTTTTTTGCTCGTTGTATATCAGGGGTATCCATGCCCACTCCCATTCCTTTTCCTTTAATTTCATTCTCCAAGTCTTTCTTGTATTCTTTCTGAAAAGAATAGCATTGCAATACTATCATGTATGGGAGCCAAATTCTTAAATTGTTCCTCCTTTAATCTGTGTGTGTCGACAGAACAGCATTCCATTCTTTTTTAACTTTAAGCATTATTAAAACATCAAGTAACTTTTGATTCAACAGCATTAGCTTTTTAGGATCTATCTATGAGACATATATACCGCTCACCTGTTAAAAAATAAATCTCTTAAAGACTGCTTACTTCAACTCTGATGTAGCCTTTCACATCTGCCTGTCTTTGCAGCTTTGACAGCTGCAGTCACAGACACCTGTAGGTGAGACTTTCTCCCTCAGATGTGCTTTAGCAAGACTGAGGTCATAAGGTTTAGCATTTCTTTAATTTTGTTCAACATTTGACCCTAACTAACAGGCAGCAATTCAGATCTAAAAGGCACAGGGCCTGCAGCTACCACAAACAGCCCAGACCCTACCCTCATGGTCCATGAGGAATAATTGTAAACTGGAAAAGCTGTAAAGTTCTGAGAAGTCTTAACTTTCCCCCATATGCTGATTACACAACTTTTAGACTCTGTGTAGCTCAACAGATTAGGTATTTGGTGAAATTTGTGGTATTACTGCTGCCTAGATTGGTCACCACCTAGAATTTCCAGTGACAATAATTTGTTCCAAAGATTGCACCAGGCACAGTACTGACCATACTTGCGATTTCAGAAGCTTTCTTGGCTCGCCTTATCTCAGGAGTATCTGGACCAACTTCCATGCCCTTTCCTTTAATTTCAGTTTCCAGGTCCTTCCTGTATTGTTTCTGTAAAGATAAAATTTCATACATTATATTCACAATAGCCAGAGAGTTACAGGTGTGTTTTTGCAAAAGAGCTCCAATGTTAAGATTTAGAATCAATCAAAAATCTCAAGTTAAGAGTCACAGCTTTCAAGACTCTTGGTAAGCTTCTGTCAGGAAAACATGTACCAAACCACAGGAAGAAAACTTTAGGAGATATTCACTAAATGCACTCTATCACTGATTTTTTCATTTGGCAGAGAGTAGGGGGAAATCAGTCCATACAGCTTTCTACAGTTATCCTCTAAAGTAAAGGGGAAGTTTAGCTCTGCAAAACGGTGTAATAAGCTGGTACTTGGTGCCAGCCTATTTGAAACACATCTTACTTCTAAGAAAATAATTTATTTATGAAAAGACTCCATGTTAGAAATTTAATGCCATACAGAATTGTTTCCAGTGAACTTTCTGAGCAGGAAGTTGTAATTTATTCATTTAACAGGCTTTTCCTGAACTGCAGCCATTAGGCAAGTGGCAGTACTCATCCATGATTGCTGCTTTTTCCTCAAAACATAAATTATAAATAACCAATAATCAGGCAACAAAATGAGCATTTCATCTTCAGCTTATGCAAGCAAGGATATATTTCTTGTTCATCAGCAAGTGACACTAAAATGTAATACTGAGAGACTGTATACAATAGCTGAGCTTTTTAAAAAATATTTAATATTTTAAATATTAAAATTTCTCAGGCAGTGCTATTTCCGCTCCTATAATAATAGGTACTCTTTCTATATGCTAGCTTATCTCTACCTGCAGAAAACAGGTGGGGTCTTTTCAAAATAAACACATATCATTAACAATTTTTTTCTTCTCTTGTTTGTTAATTATTTTTTAGGTTGTACATTAGTTAGAAAAAAGAAGGAAAATACCCTTCTACTCAGCGTAACAGTCTGATTGCTTACAAGAACAAGAGCAAAAAGTCTTTCAGTCTTCCACCTCTGTCTCACTCTGATGTGGAAATAAACATGAAAAAAACTACTTTCTACTTCACAAACTACAGGTTTCTGCAAAAAGTGTATGTTAACCTCTAAAAAGACATCATCTCTCACTTCCTCTCTGCTAACAGTTGAATGGCAGATGGTTCCTCCCAGCTTCATATTGTTTAAAACTCTTAAGGAAAATACAATCATGGGAGTTACAGTGGTGTATTTCTGCACTTCTTTACAGTGGTCACACTGGAACTACCAATGGAATTTCCTCTGGTTCTTATGGCTTTGTGTGTATGCATGTGCTTATACATACCCACATGTATTAAATGAATGTTAAAATATATAAAATATATGTATTATTCTGAAAGAATGACTCCCTGAAGACATGAAGTGCAGCATGAGCTCTAACTTCCCTCTTTCCTCTCCACACTCTCCAGCCCCACTGCTTTCAAGCTTGCAGCTCTGCTGAGCACACACATTTTCCAAGCACAGGAGCTCTTCAGGTTGGTTTTTAAGAGACAGTTCATAGATCAAGGAGTTTTCCACTTTCAGCCCATCAGTGGGAATAGGCTGCATGCTTATGTGGTGACACAGAGCCTCCAGAGCAACTTAGATCAACACAGTTAAAATCAAAATTCAATTGGAAAAATATACTCTGGATGGAGCTTTCACCTGTCTGTTTGGTTTTGGATGAATATTTTTTTTGTTTGTTTGATTCTGGATGAATCACAACCTCAAGAAAGTCCATTTCCTCAGGAGTGGCTCTGTTTTTGGAAAAATGGTTTCACAAATAGAATAGTTTGTTAGGATAAAAGAATCTCCCAAGATGCCTGGCAGTCATTACCAAGATTTATTTTCAGATAGCAGATATGTGATCCCAAGAAACTCAAAATTATTTCATTGACTTTTCTTTACAAGTCCATTAATAGTCAACTCTTTTTCCGTTACAGTATTAATTATACTAGCTGAATAAATAAATAGGTGAAAAATGAACCCAGTTTTAAATGCTGTATTTACTGACCCCACTAATAATTTCCATTGACCATTTAATCACCTGAAAATCTGAAATATTTTTCATAAGTTGGGTTTTTTCATCACTTTTCTATATTCTTAAAGCAAAACAGAAACAGCCTTTGTTTCAATACTTCTATATTCCATTCTAGATTATGCAACAAAAAAAAAAAAATTGGAATATTTTCAGTCAAAGAAAGTCACTAAGAGTGAACTTTCTGTGACATAAATAACCTTGACTAGCATAACATACCTCATTTAGTATCTGTGCTGCATTTTTCACTCTAATCAAATCTGGTGTATCTTCAAACACTGTCATTCCTTTTCCTTTCATCCATTCTTCCAAATCTTTTCTGTACTCTTTCTAAGGATTAAAAAAAAAAAAAAAAAAAAAGAGGTTTCTCCACTTAATATTGCGTGCAAGATCTTGAAAAGAAACACCACTTAGTAAATGTCTGACGGGTCTCTTTGAAATGTCTATGAAATATTAATTAGCTGAAGTACAGGTTTCAGAGTTAAAATAGAATTGGAAATCATGAAATCAAAAGGTACAATGATGAAAAAGTGAAAAGGTTTTAATGTAGTTGTATTCTCCTGTTGTGCTCTTGAAAAACAGCACTCTCCTATTATAGCACTAACACATTGTTTAGGGGCCTCCACTGCCTCTCTACAGATATCTTAGCTGCAGTAGCATTTGCTTTTACAGACCAATATATGCTGTGCTGCAGTTTTTACCTCTGTTCAACTAATTGCATCGCAATTAGGATGGATGTTTGAAGACTTTATTAGGACCTGTTAAAATGACTGCTTCATAAGTTATAATGTAGAAGCAATATTCCCACTGTATCACTTCTGTGCCAGTTATACGCTGCATAGATACAGTCTATGAACGTTTAGCAATTGCAGCCTCCAGAGTACTCAAACATTCAATATAAAATTAGAAGTAAACTACAACCTGCCCATGGACATTTGGTTCTTTTTCCTCTTCACAATTCCTAGAAAGCTGATGGAGGCCTACTGAAGTTCAAGATCTTTAAATTTTGTAAGGATTTCCAGGCTTTTTCTACCTTCATGTCTGGATTAGGCTTTCTTAAGCAAAGAAACTAGAACAAATGTCCTGGTTAGAGTTAAGATAGAACTAATTCTGTTCAGTGATTTTACTTTCCAGCCAAGTCTCTTCTAATTAACTGCACTTTCTGAAATTATCAGCATATTTTCACAGTGTCTGCTTCCAGCAGCGATAATGCTCCATGTTTTCAGTTATACCAAAGATTGGCATGCAGACCACGATCACTGCTAAATCTTGTATACCATGCTGGGGTGTGCCAAAAGTAAAAGGCAGCACCTGCAGGGAGAAGAGGAGAGGACAGGTGACCCTAAACTGACCAGCAAAGTATTCCATCCCATAAATATCATGTTCAGTGAAAGCTGAAGGATCACAAAGGTCAAACTCTCTTATTCAACAGCCAGAGTCCAAGGAGGACTATGTCTGTTCTGCCTTCAATCCCAGTCCATGTGTTCCTGAATGCAGTTTGAGAATCCAGCTTCCAAATCTGGTTCCTGTCTGCTGCAGAGTCAGTCTGGGACTTCCCCAGTGCCTGCTCCACAGCATCCGTGGTGATGGTGGCAAAATTGTCATCATGGGGGTTGGGTTCGATATTGTTTTTGTATATATTTGTATATATTCTGTTTCAGTAGTATTATTATTTTCATTAAAGCTGTTTTAGCTTTCTATTCCATAAGTCTCTCTCTGTTTTCCCCTTTCTCATCCCCTTTGGAAAGGGGGGAGGAGGTAACACAGAGGATCTGTTATTCATCTAGTGGTCCACCCAGCCTCTAAGCCTCAACAGATTTATTGGCACCCAACATGAGGCCACTGAGAGCTGAAGAGCAAAAGGTGCCCATTGCTACTAAAACAGCACATCAATGACAATCTTGTACCAACAGAGACTCCATAGCTCCTACACAGAAGCTGATCCATCAACTAGAGGGTCAAAGGGTGGTTAGCAAAACTCACTCACCCTTTGGCAGTCCTATACTGCCAGTGCAAAAATCTAACAGGGAATGAAGATTAACAGTGGATTATCGTGGAATGTATGTATGAAGTTATGCCAGTGATGCTGCTGTGCCAGACTGGCTAGAACTCCAGTACAAACTGGAGTCAAAGGCAGATAAGTGGTATGCTACAGCTGACATTGCTAATACTTTCTTCTCTATTCCTATAGCATCAGAGTGCAAGCCACCATTTGCTTTCACCTAGAAAGGCATACAGTACACCTGGAATCGACTGCCCCAGGGGTGAAAACACAACTCTACCACTTGTCATGGACTGATCCATACTGCACTGGAGAAAGGTGGACTTCCAGAACACCTGCAATATATGGATGAAGTTTTTGAGAAAGGTAAGAGAGTAACTGAAATTCTTTTAGATGTCGGTTTTGCCATAAGAGGCAGCAAGGTCAAGGGACCTGCATAACACATCCAGACTTTATAAATTAAATGGGAGAATGGGCATCACAAGATCCCAATGGATATGTTTGAAAAAAACGATACCTAGATCCCCACCAACTATCAAAAAGGAAAAACAAGATTTCTTAGGCATTGTGGGTTTCTGGAGAATGCATATTCCTAGTTGCAGTCCGATTGTAAAACCTCTCTATGAAGTAACTCAAACACAAACCAATTTTAACTTGGCCCCTGAACTAAAACAGGCCTTTGAACAGATCAGATGAGAGGCTGTATATGCAGTAGCCCTTGGGCCAGTCTAAACAGGACAGGACATTAAAAATGTGGACCATCAATAACGGTCCTAGCTGGAGCCTCTGGCAGAAAGCCCCAGTGGAGACTCAAGGTCGACCCCTAGAATTTTGGAATCACAAAGGCTCCAAGACTCACTATACTCCATCTGAAAAAGAAATCTTGGCAGCATATGAAGGAGTTCAAGCTGCTTTGGAAGTGATTGGCACTGAAGCACAGCTCCTCCTGGTGCTGCAATTAGCAGTACTAGGCTGGATGTTCAAGGGTAAGTTTCCTTCCACTCATCATGCCACCAATGCTACCTGGAGTATATGGCTTGCTTTAATTACACAGGAAGCTCAAATAGGAATTCTCAGTCATCCAGGTATCTTAGAAGTGATCACAGATTGGCCAGAAGGTAGACTTTGGAATGCCACCAGAAGAAGTAGTGACGTGTTCAAGAAGCCCCACCATATGACCAGTTACCAGATAACGATAAGTGGTATGCTGTTTACTGATGGATCTTGCTGTCTTGCAGGAAATCACTGCAAGTGAAAAACCGCTGCGTGGAATCCCACATAACAAGTAGCAGAAGCACCTGAGGGAGAAGGTGAGTCAAGTCAACTTGCAGAGGTAAAGGTCATCCAGCTGGCCTTAGATACAGCTGAATGAGAAAAGTGGCCAGTGCACTATCTCTGTACCAGCTCACAGATGGCACAAAATGCCTTGTGGGGGTGGTTAAAATAGCGGAAGTGTAATAACTGGCAATGCAGAGGTAAATTTATTTGGGCTGCTACACTGCGGCAAGATATTGCTGCGCGGCTAGAGAAACTGGTTGTAGAAGTGCGTCACCTGGATGCCCATCTACCTAGAAGTCATGCCACTGAGAAATATGAAAACAGCCAGCAAGTGTATCAGGCTGCTGAAGTGTCCCAGACAGACTTAGACCGGAAATGTAAGGATGAACTATTTTTAACCTGGTGGGCCCATAACACTTCAAGACACCAGGGAGGAGATGCAATGTAGAGATGGGCTCCAATCCACCAAGGGGTGGATTTAACTACAGACACGCTTGTACAGGTAATCTATGATTGTCAAATGTGTGCCACAATCAAAAAAGCTAAACAGCTAAAACCCTTGTGGTATGGGGAATGATAGTTAAAATATAGGCATGGGGAGGCCTGGCAGATTGATTATATCACACTCCCTCAAACCAATCAGGGTAAGCGCTACATGCTTACAATGGTGGAAATAAGCTTCAGATGGCTGGAAACATACCCTGTGTCTCACATCACTGCCTGGAAAAGCATCCTGGGCCTTGAGATATTGTGGTGACACGGCACTCCAGAGAGAACTGGGTCAGACAATGGGACTCATTTCAAAAACAATTTTATACACAGTTGGGTCAACGAACATAACACTGAGTGGGTGTATCACATCCCCTATCATGCATCGGCCTCTGGAAAAACTGAACCATATAATGGACTGTTAAAAGTCCATGTGGGATGGAACCGTTAAAAAATGGGGTAAGCATTTAGCACAAGCCACCCGGTTACTTAATACCAGGAGATCCATCAGTCAAGCCAGTCCTGCTCAGTCAGACACTTTACATACAGTAGAAGGGGATAAAGTCCCTGTGGTGGATGAAAGGGAACTGTTGGGGAAAACCTGTGTGGGTATTCCCTGCTTCAGGCAAAGGCAAATCCATTTGCAGGGTTGCTTTCATTCAAGGACCTGGAAGTAGTTGGTGTGTGATGAAAGATGGTGAAGTACAATGTGTGCCTCAAGGATATGTAATTCTGGATGAGAATACTCGACTTAGAGCTGTATAATATTAATTGCATAATATTAACAGTGTTCAGTAAGTGCCTTTCAGGATAACACAGTGGCAATGACAGGAGCCAGCTTCACTGAGTGGCATCCAGTAATCTCCTGAGGTGAACCTGCAACCCGTAGGCATGAAACTTGACTGTAGTGGCAGGCCCCACCTCTAAACCTTGACAATAAAACTGAAGAAAATATTTTTCAGAAGGATTTATATCGACATGAATTAATACTCCTACTATCGTATTAAATTTCATGAGCTGCAGTGAGCACCTTTGTCTCTCTAGAAGCTCTTTAAGCAAAAGAAAACCAGGTATTTTTAAAGATGCTTCTCTTTATCATCAGAAACATGTCCTACAACAAGCAGGAAACAACTTCTATAAATTTAGAATTATTTAATGCAGCTATCTCTTCTGAAGGAGTTGTGAATGTGGTTCCAGAGAAGAAAGTTCTTATTGCTACAAAATGTCAAATATTTGCAGAATTCTCTACAGTGGGAAGGCAACATAATAAGCTGGAAGACAGCTGGTAAAAAAAATTTAAAAGTAATTGAACAAATAATTATTTTTTTAATAACTCCACATTCTCCTTCTTGTTTCATGCAGTATCTATCTAAATCTTATTATGAACCTTCATACAAAAATACTGAGCTACATCCTTGAATATCAAGAAATACATTATTTTGCTGAATCTTGAAAAACAGTAATTATGTAATCTTTGGCTTTGGAATCTGTTCCATAAATGTGAATATAAAATCATATTAAATTCATGCAGTTATGCAATGAAACACCATTTGCATTTTCTCATATCTTTCCCCTCTCACTTACAACATTGGTTGACTCCCTAAGTAATGAGTCAACTTGAGAAAGTAAAAATTAGGGAACATCTTAATGCATGTAGCATTGCAGAGGGGAGTTATATCAAGATTTTCAAAGATGAACATCTACAACACATGTGCAACTACACATGCACTGAACACGTTTGTGAACATTCAGCATGCAGCAAGGTTAACTCAATGAAATGCAAGCATTTGCATTTTTCCCTAGTAAGCAGGCGTATGTGAGATATGCATGCACAGAATGGTGCTGCACAAACTAGATATAGCTTAAAGACTTGTCTACCTGACAGCCAAGCTTCTTGGAATAAATTATTTATTAGAGGATGAATAATAAAGAACTACCTAAAAAGAAAATCCTTTCTTTACCTGTATGTGTTCTAGCATAGACAGAGATAGGTTGTCTAAAGAACAAGGCAAGGAACAAGGCTCAAGACTTTTTAATTCTAGCATCTTCATTTCATTCATCTGGGCCAGAGCGAAAACATTGATTCTTAATACAATAAACAAGGTACTGTTTGCTCCCAAATTCAAATGGAGGGTATCATAGCAGCTATGATATTTCTAACTATGAATTTTGCTGATACATTTACTTCTAAATTTGATGAAATAGTAAGGCTAATATAGAAAAACAACCAACATTCAAAACATAATTTGAAAACAGTTTTGAATAACAATATAAAAAGACTACAGAAAGGATTCTCAGCTATTGAAGTTATTCGTTATTTCGTTTATTTCGGTTATAATGCCACATAGAACTGAAGAAAATTGGACAAATCTTAAAGAAACAGTGGGCATACAGAAAACTTGCACCTTCTAAGTTTACTTAAAGCAGGTTATGTAATACCACAGCTATATTATGGAATTTTAGTCTTTCTTTTCATCCATAAGACATATGACGGATAATTTTTTCAGTTAAATTGAATCAATTATTTAGTTAAATAAAAGTAACCACACACAGGTTGAGGCATCCATATAACCACAACAGACAATCACAAACCTGAAACAATCAAATTGAAAAGTTGTCATCTGGATACTAGCAGAAACCTTCCTTTCCAACTCTTTATCTGTCTGGAAAGAAAACTCCATGTCCCTCTGCAAAACCGTATCAAAAAGGTGTCCTTTGCAGCATGCCTGGAAGGTCACCCAGTTGGGGCTATTTGAGCCCAGGGGAGGAACAAACTGCAAAATGGAGGCCCTCAAGAGAGAATGTCCTGTCATCAATCCATTTTCTATAGAGTCATATGGTTTGTTCATTTAACTCCGTTTTTCTGGTTCTGATGTGCTGAGCTTTATCATTTCCTTACGTTCATTTAACTTCAGAAAGTTTTGATTCTTACTACGAGAATATTCAGAATATAAAAGGACATATGGCAACTTTTACTCATGAAGTCACTTTTGTAGTTAACTACCAAGTTAGCTGTAAGTTGTTCAGCACTTAGTAGCTTGTAGTGATGCTGCTTATTGCTCATTTACAATTCCACAACAAAAAAAAATCCCCTACCTCTTTTAGAAGATTAGTAACTTCTTTAATATGCAAGAACTCCGGAGTCTTGTCTAAATCCATTGAGGGTCTTCCCTTGATCCCTTCTTCAAAATCTTTGCGATACATTTTCTATTGATGCAAAAACAATTAATGGTACACGCATGTGCATTTGCAACTATATTTCAGACATAACATTGTAAACAGACCCGAAATGAGCCATGCCATAAGCTAGTCATCACATTAGTTAGAAAATTTACTACTCATTTCATTGTATGGATTATCTATACAAGACAATTTAGACAAAAATATGTATGCATGGTATTTCCAAAGAGAATGTTTATCTTGAAACAGTTTGCTGGGTAGAGAAAAGAGAAGACAAACAGCACAAGGTAATAGTTTTAATCAAATAAAAGTTTCTACCAAGAAGAAGAAATCATCTCCTTTCCAAAACAAAGCGCAAAAATAATGGAAACAAACTGCAGCAAAGGAGACACAGGGAAATTATCTCTGGATGGATGGTTAATCACTGGACTAGATTATCTGGAAGGTCATGAAACCTCCACCACTGGAAGTTTTTAATAAAAAGTCAGAAAAGTATGGCTTGACAGGACAGTCACTGCTGTTCTGGAGCCTGTAAACATTCCTTCCCCCTTGCTGAGATCCCCAGGCTGAAGAGGCGGGAGCACGTTTCAGTTAAGGTACAGCATTGGATTGGGCTTTGCAGCTTCACTCACTCCCACCTGAGAACACTCCTTCATTAAAGATGGTATTAAAGGGAAAAGGTAAAAAAGTTAGCAATCTCTGATCTAGATGAGCTCTCGAGCTTCTTCACAATTAAATGATGCTATATACAATCTCCATCTAGTCTCAGCACCATTGGCCTTTTGAGAAAAAAACAAATTTGAAGGATGAACTGAGCTACAGAAAAGCAGTAAGAACTACTCAGTAAAAATTCTACCATAATCTCAGTTTATAAAACCTTCTGCTTCTGTTTATAAAACTATCTCCTTCATCCATTTTCTTATCCTGGGTACAGGATGTCAGTTAGCTTCTCTGTTAATCTACATTTTACTACTTCAAGAAAACATTTTTACTAACCTCACTTTGCAGCTTTTGAGCCTCCTTTGAAACTTGATACATCGGTGTCTCCACAAACTCCAGCATTGATCTGCCTTTAGATTTTTCATACTTCTCTTTGTACTTGACCTAGGAAAATGCAAATAAAATCTGCTAACAGCTGAGGGAATGTGAGATCTGATTGCTTGCAATGGTGACAGATAAATCTTCTCTTAGCCATATTCCTTAGAGGTTTTAACATGGAAGACTCCTCCTAAATTTAACCAATAAATAGGACAGCTTATCTCAACCAATCAGTGTGGGGTATGATGGGATGCTCTACACAGGCCATAAAGGAAAGCAAACAGATAAAAATCAAAATATTATATTCAGAATGAGTAATACAATTTTAATTTATTTGTCTCTTCAAAACTAGTGATGTCTGAATTTGATAAAAGTGTTAAGAATCTTTTTCACTGACAGGCTTCTGCACCAGGTTTGGGTCCTACAAAAATACTCTCCTCTCTTCTCATGGGGTGCTTCTGACTGAATATGCACAAGACATCACTGTAATCTGTCATATAGTTTTGTGCCTGATTTAACACTGTTATAATGCTGCATTTTTCTCTTTAAAAGATGTTATTCATGATTGTGTATACCTGACTTTGAAGCACTGCATTTTCTTTGTGATGGATTTGTTCAGCTGTATCTGGGGTGAAATGATAGAAGTCCTTGCTTTGCTTAAATGATATCTTACAGTCATACTGAAACAAAAAATACCCAAAATGTTTCCATAAAAAAAAATCATAAGCTTTTGCAATTAAAATAAAATAAAAAAAAAAAACAACTATGGGAGAAAAGCATAAAAGAAACTGTATTTTAAGCCTTCCAACTTAGGAGTTCCACTGCTAATTTTGAATTTAAAATATTGTGATGGAAAAAAAAAAAAGGATATGATTAAAAAAAACTTTTGTAAGTTCCTAGAGAAATGCCTGTCCTGCTCACCCAAAAATCAAATGTTTATGTTTGCTAGAAGATAGGATTATTATTTACATTTTAAGAGCAAAGGAATACATATGATGGTCTAGGTTTGCCTCCTAGTGGAAATAATTACAAATGTCACATAACAAAATCACTTCTGTAGTGGCAACAAAACTTATCTCCATCTACAGATAGTGACTTCACACTTTTGCTCCATTCCTCAACTAATAGAACAAAATTTTTTTAATAATAAATAAATCAAATTAAGCAAATCAAATGTAGTGTTTTGCTACACCAAGCTACAGGCACCAGATTCAGTCTCTTAAGTTGTATTTATTCACCGTGTTCCATAAAATCAAACATATCTAAGTCCCTTTTTTCTGTTCCCTGTAGTTCATTAGCATCTCAAAGTCTCTACAATAAATGTGTAAAACAATAAACTAGCTGTTGTATATATATCAAAGTTTTAAATTTTATGTCTTTACAGTTCATGCCAAAGAGAATTACATGTATAACGTATAAGAGGAAAGTTCCACTTTGTGAACTCTCTTCCTCATCAAAATAATGAAAATAGGATGAGTTTGACCTGTACAAATAGGTCTGCTTGTGTCCAAATATGTCATCCAGCCTTCCTCTTAACTGTTGGAATTTACTCCCATGGAAGCTGACTTGTATAACAGCTTTGTACTGGTATTATAGCATGTGTGTTTCATAAAGTTGTACATACTTCTACACTCTAGGTCAATCAGCAAAACAATTCAATCAACCAGGTTTGCTTTTGCACAACGTAGCTACATCTGCCTCAATGTGACACATTGGAATCTCTATGGTTCCAGCTAAAGTGAAGTATAAATTTCAAGGTATACTTGAAAGGAATACTAGAGGGAAACAAAAAAACTGGACAACTAGCAAGAAGCTCTGTGTTTCAGAGGAAAAAAAAAACCCAGACAGTAGATCAGTCTTCAGAAATCAGTTGATGGCACAGTTAGGAAGACTGTTTCATACAGTGGAAACAGACTTCAGTAAAGATTTTGTATGAGCTGTGGAGGGACAAGAAGAACACAAAAACATATTGGAAAAGCATGGAGAAAGGCTGGAGAGTAAGCCATGTTAAAATCAAAGAGATGATACAGGAAGGTCAAATCAGAGGATTTTGAAAACTTTATTTCTGTGGAAGACAAGATACCTAGTGGAGACCTTATGGATGGGCAAGGCATTCTTCTTCCTGCTCACAGCAAGAAAAAATATCCACCATCAACTGGACAATGCAAAAATCAGAGACTTAGTACTTACGAAGTCCTCAGAATAGGGCACAGACAATATGAATCCACCTTTCCCAGGGAATAGAAGAAATAAACTTTGCAAGAAGTGAGCTAACTTAAGGGAAAACCCAGGTTTATATCTCATTAGAGAGAAGATGAAGAACTGATGAAGCTCATTATGAGGGTGTTCGTTTAATCAGCAAAAAGAATGCCAATCTTGTCTTACACTAAATGAAACAAGAATTAGATCACAGTGCACATGAAGAACACAAGAAGTGAAAGCTATCAACTCATTTATTACCCCCCCAAAAGGGGATAGTCACTGTCAGTTTCACATTCCAGAGTGAGACAGATAAAAAGCAAGCTTCAATTCAGCAAAGAACAACACAAAAATGAAGTACAGATGGGAAGGCTGGATTATTTTGGTTATTTTAGACATAAGCTTCCATCAGCAGGCACTGACTCAGAAGATGACCCAGAATGCTCCTAGTCATTAGGGCTAACCCTTTCTGTGTGAAATGCACACTTCCTGCTAACCTTCCTTCCCAGCACCTACTCACACCTTTCCACAGCAGTTCTGTGGACCTTGTAGGGGTTTCTTTTTTCTACTAAAGACAGCAAACAGCCTACAAGCACCACGTATGTAGCATAGGTGCTCTTGGAGCATGAGAGAAGCTTCAGCATTGCAGAGAAGCCAGGGGGTTCCTACCTCTGCTCCCGTTTTGAGCCCCTATCACTATCCTACATCAGACCACCAGCCCTATCAAGGGGCATGTCTTGTGCAGACTGGAGTATGTGTCTATTAGTATGTGCCTAGTAATATTACTATTACTGGATTCAGTGTAGGAAGCCTCTAGACATTTAAGAGGGAAATAAGGTTTAGGCAGAGAAACTAGCACTCAAGAAGCTGTTCGTGGCAGCAGTCCAAATATTAAAGTAGCATAATGGTCACTTCTGTAAAGAGACTTGCAGATGAAAGCAATAAGCAAGATCTTAGGCAAAACAAGACTTGCAGGGAAAGAATCTTAGATCAACAAAGTCAAAACCAGACAAGGTTTCAGACATATTAGAAGAAATGCTCAAGCACCAGAAGTCTGTGTGATTCTTACCCAGTATATCAGTCTTTCTGATAACTGACAGATCTTTCTCTAAAAGCCCTATTTTCTTCACTACACCCCCCAACTAGTATAGTTGCAACACTAGTCTACTACATACAAGATAATGAAGCAAGTATCAAAAATGTATGTATTCTTCAGTGACAATACATACTACATTCCTTACTACATATATTTTTCTGATCTTCCTTATAAGGGCAACTTACATCGCTATGCATTTTGCTGATGTTTAAAGCATGGTTTAAATATAGCAGGTTTGGTAGATCAGAGGCTGGATCATGTAGGCTTTCCAAATCTTTCTTGTAATTCACCTGAAAACAGAATTCAAGTTACGTAAAATAAAGATTAACAAAATAATTCACAGTTTAATAGTACAGTGTGACCATCCAAAACCAGAAAGCAAGTGCTCGCCTGAACAATCTCGTCCAGCCACTAGGTGGTGGTGATTTACTATTGTTTGGAGGAAAAGGCACACTCAATCAAGGATTCATTCCAAAGAGCAAGTATTTGGGAACTAACTCAAACTTTTCCTCAAAAAGGACATTTTATAACAAAATCACACTTTCAATGACTTTTCAGACTAGAAAAGAATTATTATTGTTCTTTGTCACTTCCCCCCAGTTCCCCTGAAAACTTTAATCACGAGTAACTTCCATACTACTTCAAGTTTACTCATTTTAAACACTGCTGAGTCCTGTTCTTCTTCTCTTGATTCAGGAATTACACTGCCCAAATAAAAAAGCTGTATATACAACAGCTAAAGGTAAGTTCTCCTGGATATTTTATTTAATACAGACAGCTTTCAGCAAAGTTAAGCAATAGAGACAAAAGATAATCAGTTAATGAATTAGCAGAAAATAAGTTTCTATCAGCCTATATTAAGATTTCCATACTTCTGACAGCTGCACTCCCATCTTTTGAGGAAGAAAAGTAAGGTGACCTTACATATCTTGGATCACAAAAAGTAGTCAATACTCAATTTGCATATATCTTAAAATAGTTACTTCAATTAATTTTTTTACTAAACATTTAGACCTTGGAAACAATTACATATTCTATTGGGCCCTTCCCAGAGCCAGCATCTCCTGTTTCCGTTGGGTGGTGCCCCACACTTTGGGAACACTGGACTACAGAATCAAGGCTTGTCTTTTGGCTATCTGAGGTCACAGCATCAAAGAAGATCTCACATTTTTAGTATTGGACACACTGTTAAATGTATCATCCGAACAGCATTATTACTTGACATAGATGTTTTCTCCAATTTGGCTCCAGCAGCAGGCACCCATTGCTGAATCTAGTGACTGCTGTACTTTGTAATACCGTAAGATCAAACAGCAGAACAAAGTCTAAAAGACAGATATCAAAATCTGAGGATTCTCCTAAAACCACTGGAGAGATGCAAGCACTTTTCTCCTCTAAAGACAGGCATTTACCAGCAGGTCAGAATTGCCCTCTAGACCTGTTTATTACCTTCATGAATACAAAGAGTATTCTCTCAAATACAAGGCAATTAGTTCAGAGTAAGCAGCCAGATCTTCTGAAACACGAAGTTAAGCAAGATGAATCTCAATAAAAATGGGCAGGAAAGGCCCTTGGAGAACAGTTTCGTCAGAAGCACAGTAAGAAATGGATAACACGTTGTACCTGCTGTACAGACACACTGTATAGCAGAGACTGCTGCTTAGAGTAAGTCATAAGATGGAAGAAGAAATTCTGTTTGAGAACAAGTGTTATTTTTTTCAGGCTGTAAAAGCATATATGTTACAAAGCAAATTCACTCACATCACTTGCCAAGGTGGATGCAATCTGTGCTTGTTTGAAGGAAGCACTGTCAAGAGGGTTGTACTGGTGGCTCTTCATTTCCTTACTGAACTGCTCTTTGTATTTCACCTTCCACCAGAACAAACATATTTAATATTAACATGTAGCATTTAAAGAAGGCTCAGAGAATTCAGACTACAAAGGAGCTTAATAAAGGCAACTGCCTTATCCATAAATCTTGAAACTATGAAGACGTTTAAAGAAGCTCAGTTTAGCCACACCTGTGGCTGTCCTGTGCTAGTTTCAAAGTAATTTTTACATATCTGAATTTTACTAGAATGAAAAAAAAAATTAAAATTGTCATATGTGATTATCCGTGCTGAAGGACTTATAAAAAGGAAACAGAAGCAAAACCATATGACTCACTTTGAATAATGAAAAAAAACAGAACCGTTCAACTAGCAATAATAATCTACTTGCTGGGAATCATTCAATTCATAATTAAGATCAAAAATGTGTCTGAAACGAAAAAATAAGTAAATAAATAAATAAATCTAAGGTGAATAAACTGTAGCACTTGAAAAATAAATCACTTGTAAAAATTTCAACTACTTGAAAGCGGGCAGTCAGACTCGAACTTCCCACCCAGCCATCTTTCCCCTCATCACAGTGCAAATGACGTGGTCCACAAGTGGCTAGACTGCCATCAGACCCCCAGGTCTACTTTTAATTTTGCCAGAAATTTCCCACAACACCCCCAGGAATCTCTCTGTAGTACAATCCCTTGTTGGGGACAATGCTCAACTCATTACAGTGTTAGAAAGCATAATTACATTACTATCTGCCATCATTTTAATTCTCTTCTTGTTCAAAAGAAAAACAGGGAATAACAACACATGTAAAAGGAAATGAGCAATACATAAATGTTGAGGCAATGGTATTAAAGGTAAATAAGTCACAAAAATTCCATAAAACATGCTGAAGAACTGAACTGAGAATCTGAAAATTTGAAATCAAATAGTAAATCTCCCGCCTTTGCCCCCCTTGTTCTGCATGATCATGAAACATCTGGAGACTCTGCACACATGCCTTGCTTCCTTACAACAGCTGGGCATAATGGAGGAGAATAAAGTTCAGTCTGAACTATGCTGCTCTCATGAATGTTAGTTGGACACCTGATATCTGAGCCTATGCAACATCCATTATCATTTACCACGCTCTGCATTAAATAAATACACGTCTTTTTCCTCACTCCTTTTTTCTCTACTCCCACATGAATGTCTAATAAAGTGGTTAAACCACCTCAAACAACCTCCTTCAAAAAAATTTTTTTTTTCTCAGCTTAGTTGTGGGAAGAATTTTCTTTTTCCTTTTTAGTTCTTCCTTGACTCAAAAAGACTACCAAGATGGTTTAGCTTACACAACATCATTATGTTTAGCCACGACACCCAGTATTTCATTAATCAAGATAACAAGAAAACAAAACTAAGCCACCCAAACAGAAACAAACCATATTATGTTCAAGAACTACATTATTATTTCTGCACTTATGATATTTTTTTCAAAGGAAGGAAATTCTAAAACATTGTTACTTTTAAAGAGAAACTTTATCTGAATACATGATGAACTTCATAATCTGTCAAACTAACTGTACAGAAGAATGTCTACTGCCTTCTGGCAGATGCATCTGGTTCGTATTGTTTGATATTTGCCTTGGCTTTGGATCAAGCACAAAATTACGTATCTGAATACAATGACACTGCTTTCGTCAAAGGCAAATCCATATTCTGTATGAGCAGCAAAGGAATAAAGCAGAGGGCTTTCCTCCTCTAAAAGGTGTTTCCAAAACTTATCGTCTAAAAAAAGAAAACAAAAAAACAACAAAACAGGCAGTGCTGGAATTCAAAAAGCCTCTGAAACCAGGGATCAAGTCAGCATGGTGAGTACAACTGTCTTACTCCTTGTAAGCATTCTTTGGCACCAGCTTACATCCTAACAACATCATGCACAAGAGTTTAAATATCCAGCTATTGCATTCTGTCTTCTTCTGCCCAGCCAACAAATGGCCACAAACCATGCATGCAAAACAAATGCACAATGTGGTCCTTAGTATTCTTGTTAAGTGTGAAAGCGTCAGTACCAAAGGGACCTCTTCTCACAACTAGTTTGCCATCTTCCAGCTGCAGCTATTTCATGCCATTTTTTAAAAGACTGGTTTAGAAACACATTTCAATTTAGAGATTCCAGTAATAAATCCTCGTTAGTGTCACTTCACATCACTGCTACGAAAAGAAAGAGGAGGAGCCAGTGAACCCAGTCTTTACAGGGCTGTATGTCCTGATGCCAGTGTGCAGGAGGGTCCCAAATTTAAGGAGACCACCTGCCAATCCAACTGTCAAGGTTGCTGTTGCCGTGAGGGATGTCCCGGTACCTCTAGGGCTTGCTGCCTCGCCTGGCCGCTCTGCTCCTCAACACCACCGCACATGTCGCTCGCGGGCAGAACGGAGGCACACAATAATATCAGATGACCCTGGCAGTATCTCAAGAGCCCTTCCAGCAGTAATTTAACTCTGACTTGTCACAGGGGATTCGTCTCAGTGAAAGCTACGCACGCATTCTCTTTCTCTTGTATCGGTATTTGCCTGTTTCTTTATCCCTTTTGAAAGAAAGCATGGGGTGGGAGAGGGAGAAGAGCAAGCCCACGTATGAGTCACTGTGAAGTAATGCACATGGGTGTTCTTCTTTTGAATAGGAGAAACTTATGAATGCAGTTTCAAGGAGGAAAATATCCCTGAGAGAAAGGGTTCTGATTAAAAACAAGGAAGACATATACTTCATCAGCGATTTCTAAAACATCTGAAGGGGGGAGGCCTTAGCAATGCTATAAACTTGGTAGAAGAGCAAACAAAAAGTGGGAGTAGAAATGACAGTTGTTAGTGGAAGCTTATGCACAAATTTCATCATTAACCAAAAGCTTTACTTCAATAAGGGTTTATAGCTTGGTATGGGTAATTATTTACCATCTTAATTAAAGTCTTAAGATTGTTTATGTTTTTTAAGAGTATGTAGTGGGGGTTAATTTAAATGAAATGCATAGAGGCTGCTCTCTAATTGTTGCTGAAGAAAGAGCAGACTTTGCAGGCTTTTAACACAACAACATCCCTGAAAAAACAAACTGGAATTAAATAAGGCCTGGATAAACAAACTTCTGATAGCCCTTGCACAAAACCTATAAAAGTCAGAATTGCAGCTGGACAGAGCCGTGTCTTTTGAAGCTCTGCAGCAACATTCCTAAATCAAATCTGTAGTTCAAAGCTGTTCACACATGGAGCGTTCAGTTTCAGAAGTGGATGACATCACCCACTGCTCAGATTTATAAAGAAACGACAAAAATTGAATCATTCAACCACTGGGATCCCAGGATGAAGCAGACACTTGCAGCTAAAGCATTTCCTCATGACCATAGGAAAACATATTAAAAAAAAAAAAAAAAAACAGGCAGAGCACACAGATATTGAAGGAAATGCAACATAAACAAAGAGCTAAATTAAGATATTGATTGCTAAAAGCACTAGAAGAGTTTAAAGCAAAGAAAGACTTAGAAAATCTTACAGTCTTTGTGCTGTTAATCTTGAAGAAGGTACATTTTGAAAAACATTCTAACTCTAAGAATTTTATCCCTGAAACAATAAGCACCAGATCCAGCATAAAATATGAATATCCAAAATTATTCATCATAAAACCAATTATTGAACATCATAGGGGGAATACTTCATATCAGCAGCTCTTTGAAAAATCTCATTAAATGCATTAGAATGCATAAAGAAGATGTAAACAAGAGCTTGTTTTTTAAAAAAATACTAAAACCAACCCAAATTATACAAAGTACATTCAGCAAATTGAAAACCTCATGTTTTCACAAGGGCTAACACAGTTTCTGTTTTAAATTTGATTTAAAATCAACAGAAAGGGGTTACTGCATGCTGTGGGTAAATATACTAGTTCTGGGAGCTATTATTTTGCTACTGCTGTTGTCAAAAGTTTTGTTAAATTAAGGGGGAAAAAAAAGAAAAAAAAAGCTAAAGAAAGGAAGAAAGAAAGAGGGAAGAGAGAGGGTACACTGATTTTTTAGAGCCTTGAGTGCCAGTCAAACATTAACACTATTTTCTTCACTTTGTTTGCCTTCCTGCTTGCTTTGATTGCTTTCTCCCTTCATTACACCCACACTGCATGACCTCTTCTTGCTCCTGTTCTCTATACTCCCTAAATTACCTACCCATATGCACCACATTAAAACATGTTATCATCTTCTCTTCCCATTACATCCATCAGAATTGTCAACTTTGCAAATTTACTGTGAGGGTCAAATAACTAATATTTCTCTGCATGTCGCAGCTTATAGACTCATGCTATTAAGGGAGATTATCAACTTTCAGTACAAAAAGTTTATAATGCTCCCATTTGCTGAGAAACAAATGGAAACCCTGAAAGCCAGAAAGTCTGGAGACAGTGACTGTTAACTTTACTATTTTTTAAATCTTGCCGTTGTTACAAGCTTGCTTCAGGATCCTTACACAAAGAGGACTGACACGACTGACCCACGTTTAAGGCTCTTCCTCTCCCACAGCACAGGTGCATTCCTCACCCTGCCCCACCACCCTGCTCTTTGGACACAGGGGTCATCTTCATTTTTCTGTGCTCTTGATTTATGACCGTGGTGTCTGAGTGTTACAATGATTCAAATAATGTATAAAAACATTAGATAACTCATGGTCACTGCCCTTGCTTCAGAGGAGGTGGGGAATTGCTGAGTGCAACTCCCCACTGCTGAAAGCAGCCTGGTATTTACAGCCTCCATGCTGCTGCAAAGCAGAGGGCAGGCAGATGAGTGTCAGGCTGAAGCCCTGCCTCCGTTTTGAAAAGTATGTGGGCCACCACACACACACCACAAGCAGCCACAACAGTGTAGACTGAGAAGAGGACAAGAGAAGGAAGGTTCCCAAAACTTGGACCCAGTCCCAGTGGCTGCATAATTTGAACCACCAAGGTTTAGTAAGAATCTTCTTTACAAATAAAATGTAAGCAAGTTACATTTTGTCAACTGCTCGTCTCTTTCTGCCACACCTTCTGCACTATTTAGACTCTAAAGAAGTTAAAATTGCACACTAAATGCTCTCTTCTGCAGACAGATCTCAACTACAACTGCTGCCATCTTAGTCCCTGGCAGTGAAGAGACTTTTATTATAAAGATTTTGCAGATGCAGCATGCATTGTCCAAGAGGAAAAGCACATCTACTAAAAATGAGCTAAAAAGTGTGCTGATGAAGCCTACGATGCAGCTGGCTCAGCTGCAGCCTGCAGGACCCCATGATCCAGCTGCTATTTTTTGATTGTTGTGATTGTTTGCCACAACCTCAAGGCTACCAGGCTTAGTGAGATGGAGAGGGCTATGGAAAGAGATCTGCTTTGGTCCCATTTGGGACAACAGGCAGCTGCAAGAACATGAGATTCTGAAATACGCTGCAAGGAAAGGAGTGTGTAGGCAGCCACTGAGTGGAAATAAAGGATACCATGCACTAAATTTAGATATGAACCCTTTTAAAAAACAGTAAAGGTTTTTGCTAAATAACAGACAACTTCCTTTCTTGTAAGTGACACTCAGGGCTAAGCAGCATTGTACTGGCTCTTCCTAGAAAACCCAGGTTGACTTCCAAGCCTGTACAATGCTAAACACAAAAGAATCTCTTAGCAGAATTGTCCATCAGCAAAGGAATAAGCACATGATCCATTACAAAATGGAAGAAAGAAATTTGGAAAATACAAACTAATTTAGATTCTGGACATATCATTAACAAAGCAATAAAAAAGCATGTGTTTTCTTCTTTCTCCCTTTGTGCACTGTTAATGCTTCAAAGTTAATAATGGTCTAGTGTGAAACAGGAAATCATGCTGCAGATAGATATCTAAGGACGACGTTTGGTGACGGTAAAAGGTAGTCAACCTCCTGCAAACAGACACTGTACTGTTTTGCAGCTTGCTCTTTATGTCTCATTATTGTCTTTCTATCCTAGTTCTGGGGAAGACATTTACTATCTAGCCAAATCACAAGTATTTGTGACACAACACTGATTTTCAGACTGTTGTAGTGTATACACTACCACTACACTTGGCTTTTTTTTCTAGTTCTGGGAAGCCTGACATGGCCTTCTCCAATCAAAGGGTTTTATCCTCCTCCTACACAAGGGCAGAATTTGTTCCTGGGTTTACAAAAGCTCTAAGTGTAGCCTGACAGGATTACTAGTAAGGATTATGCAAGGCACTGTTAAAGAACCACTCCAGAAAAAAAGGGGAAAGTACAGGTCAGCAGTCAAAAATCCCTTCTCACGATATCAGGCTGATCTGTAGCAGAGTCTTAGGCGTAGATCTTACAAGATTCATAAGAGTAAAATAGGGAATAGGGTATTTACAGCTTTCTTTCTAGTTATGGACTAAAATAGTCCCTCTTTTTTTTATTTTATTTTTTTTAGGTTAATATATAACAGAAAGCAGTACATAAAAGGTTCTGTGTCAGGGGGAGGAAAGGCAGGTGGTGTACATGTCAGGCCAAATTCAGATCCCATCACTCACATTAGCAAGCAGTTACACAAAAGACCTCAGTTACTTCACCAGGATGAATCAGAGTTAGGTTCCACTCAAACTGAATGAGTAGTAAAATTTCCCTCTAAATTAGTTAATCATTTAGAAATCCTAAGTAATCTGTATAAATATATACCATCTCCACAAGAGACGAGTTGTAACAGACAAAGTTCATTGCATTTGTTTCATAAAAATGTATATTCTCTTTCCTAAGAATCTTAAATATACTAGTCATTGCAATACTATATGAGAAGTTTGCAAATTTAATCTTCATGCAAATTGAGATAATCATCTAAAAATCTAAATATTTTCTTGCATTACTAGAAATGAGATGTCTGAATGAAATTATTGTAAAATGACAGAAAATCTTACTTGGCTTAACAGTTTTGAAACTCCTTTTGCATGTTCAAAATCTGGTCTTCCAAGTACAGCAGGCTCCTTATTCATCTCTCCCCTTCCCTTCTTGTACTCAGCCTTAAAGGAAATGAGTATCAATCTGTATTAAATTGTTTATTATTGTTTTATCAAGAAACATGTAAGCATTGAAGCATTTAAGCTAGTAGAAGTCCCATTTCATGATCTGCATTGACACCACTGTTCTAATCAGCTTTAAAAAAAAAGCCCTTCTCAGGCTTCAGCTCCTTGACAACATAATATTTATTTGTTTATTGTAAAACTGAATGCACAGCATTTGCAAAATTTAGCTTTAACCAAATGTACAGCTTAAACCTGAGAAATATGGTTCTGCCAGTCAAGGCAGAATGAGTTACAGTGGCTCAGCATTTCTTACCATGGGGTCCTCAGTTTACACAAGATTATTTGTAGCAGTGAAAACAGTTTTGAAGCTAGGCTGAGAGGCAGCTTTTTTGAAATATAAGGTCAAATTCCATTCTTGTTTTACCACTGCAATCTTGCTGGATGTCAGTGAGGTTGCACTGGTGTAACAGAGCGGAATTAGTCCCACAAGGCTGATGTTACATGATCCTTCCAGCTGAGCTGCCTCTCATGCAAATTGCTGCAATTTTTTTCCACAATGCATTAGAAAACAGAACAGATGAATCAATGAGATGCTTTGCAAGATCATAGATTAAATTACCTATTGCCTAAAATAGGCTTCTTGCATTACTCAGCCACTCTGAAGCAACAAGAACATGTCTTGACAACAGACTGCGGGGAACTCAAGTCCCAAGACTACTCTTAAGTCAAAGGGGGCTTGAACAGCAATTAGTAAATTTGAGTGTTGAACATAGAACTTGGTAGAAGTTCTTGGTTTTCAGAAAATCCTGAATATTTTAAAGGTAAATCTCAGGTCTCTTAAAACTCTCTCCATAGGTGTCTAGCCAGGCTCACATTAAACTATTAACAGTTACTTAAAAGCTTGGCTCAGGGCTTTTAAAATATATATATAGTTTGTCTTGTCTATAATAAAATATTAAACTGCATCACACATTGCTGCTCCTCAAACTGCTCCTTGACCTATCCATTAGCAGATGTCGCAGTGGGAGAGCAAAGAATTTGAGAGGGGAGTTCGTGAAGGAGAGCTCTCAGGCAAGAAACTGTTTGCACAGCTCTCAGGACAGCAGGGAACTGCAAGTCCCTGTCACTGCCAGCTGAGATGGGAGGAGGAAGGAGAGTCCTGGGATGCAAGCTTCTCTTGTGCTGAGGCGGGAAAAGGCTCAGTATGTCCTCTGAAGTGCAGTATAGGACATAAGCATATGGCCTATTTTGAGAATGGTTATCATAAATAAAGTTAAAACAAAACCAACGTTAGTAAGCTTAAATGTTATCTTTAGATCAATGGCCAATAGTTGCAAAGGTCATACTGTTATCATCAAAATAGAAGAAACTCATAACTTCATAACATGCCAGGCAAGTCTGGGGTCTTTTTGTTGCTGGATTTTGGTTTTGGGTTTTTGTTGTTGTTGAGTTTTTTTGTTTGTTTGGGGTTTTTTTGTTGTTTGTTTGTTTGTTTATTTGGGGGTTTTGTGTGTGTGTGTGTTTGGTTTTTTTTTAAATCAAACCACCGTATCAGATTTGAGATTGCAGATTTTCTGCTCATGACCTCTGATAATTTCAGCAGCATTCTAAACAATCTGTCTCAAATTAAGAATAAATAAAATAACATGCCTAAAACATACAAATAGAGTAACAGAGGAACATACGTCACTTATTATTTTTGTTATCTCAGTTGCTATCTTTATGTCCGGCCTGTTCAGCACTTCAGTGTACCTATGAGTATCTTGCACATCCTTCTTATAGGATACCTGTGAAATAAATAACAGTTTTATTTAAAATAAACCAAAAAAACTTTGACATTTATAATCTTTGAATGATCTATCACCTCAGACATTTAAACAGAATTCTGCCAAATTTATTCCAACACAATCCTGCTTGACAGGGATTACTTTGCAAAGACCCACACACAGGTTAACAGGATAAGGAAGAAATTCAGAAGCATAAAATACAATATTAAAATGAAAAGTGGTTTTGCTTAGAAGCATAGTGGAAAATGAACACACTGAAAAGACCAAATATTATGTTTTATCATTAAATTTCAGAGGACCTTCTAAAAGCACAGCATTTTTTCCTATGCTCTACCCATTTTAGTATAAACTAACCCTCCTATGAGCCTAGCAGACTGCAGCTACACTGAACAAAAACTGTAATTCTACCACAGTGAACGTCTCTCTCAGTAATAGGCAGCCGTGTAGCTGGTAATTCAATGACAGAACTCCACCTCAGCATCCCACATTCCCCGCAACTCCACTTATCTGCTCCTTTACACAATCATGGGAACAAGAACAACATGTGGAGTACAAGACTGAATCTTTCTGTTTGTGCAAAAGCCCTTACTATAATGAATAGACTCAGAAAACTTTGACCAGAAGGCTAAACCACAGGTAGGAAAGTCCAAACATTCTCCATTTAGCAAAGCAATCACAGGAATACCACAGACCTCAGGGACGCTACAGAGCTCCAAAACCCCAAATTATCCTCCTTCTCCCTCTTCAGGGTCTGTAGACTTTTTCCTCTCCCTTGCTGTAGTACATGTGCCAATCTAAGCCAATTTCCAAGAGCTGTCTGACTGAATTATTCTGAACGATTAAGAAAATTGTCTCTGGTATTCAAGTGTCTGAATAATTGACGTTTCAGGAAAAAGTCAGGGAACATAAAGCCTACAGGAAATAGAAACTATCAGAATAATTCCTGCTTTACTGGATAACCTTTTAGGTTTTCTTCTGTTGTTTAACAAAGTTAATCAACCTCTCAAGATAGTACTTTGCCATCAAAAAGTCCTCAGCTTGAAGCTTCACTAATCTCCACACCTAGCTCTTATCTCCAATGTAAAGTTTTGCTCTGGTTACAAGGCAACGAACTCAAACTGCAGCACAGGGCAACAAATAAAATTTGTAGAAATGTTCTTTTAAAAAGAAAATAGAGTATCTTAGCTTTTTGGCAAATATTTTACAGGCAACAGGGAAGTAATTTTGCATCCATGTGGCTTCAGTTATGTAGACAAGCTAAACAGGCTTCACTGTTGGCTGCTTGCCCACCAACAGATCTTATAATTTTTAACCTACAATAAGTGACACACAAGTGTAATCACTGATAAAGTAAATAAGTTGGATGAATACAGCCCAAAGTGACACCTACCAAGAAAACAGAAACTTGGTTCTTATAGCTTATTTAAAACACTGGAAGTTTTCTTTTGGTTAGGTTTAGATTTCCTCTATTTTTTAAAAAAAACTAAATGTACAGACAAGCATTTGCAATTCAGGGCTTTACATGAATTTAGTTAATTATATGCTGTTCATCCTAATGACCACATGAGGTGAGGTGAAAACCACAAAGGCAGCAGAAACAGGTTTCTGAATAGCACCCTATCATCCATGTAAATTGCAAATTAAAGGCCAGCATATGTGCTCAAAATAGAAATTAGGAATGGAGTGAATTTAAGAACAGAGAATCAAGAATAGTGGTGATAAAGTTGAGGAAATGTGGTCACTTATTGCTCCCAAATGACATGATCATATAGTACATGAAATAATGGATTGTGGTTAATTTCAGGGGGAGAGGGGGGAGGAGGGAATAAGACAGTGACAGTCCTTTATATTTCACCATTTCCAATTATATTAGATGCAAGGCCAATTGCTATAGCTTTCCCTGAGTGAATTATTATTCTTCCTGCACCTAAACCAGTATACCTATTACTTATGTCTGAGGGAAAGTCATCTAGCATTTTACAAATGTCTGCAATATATATTTGCTCCATTCTGCAGCTTGTCATACTCTGGTGAGAATAAAAACGTTATGCAGCAGAACAGTAGTTTGTCAGAGGTAGGCCAAAGAAAGAAAAAATATGTTTCCCATTTCCTGAATAACCTCAATCCCTGGATGCTGACCCTTTCCCATTGGGACGGTGCACTGGCCTCTATTACACAGCTGCTATTCCGTTCCATCTAGTGATTTTGTTCTTTTTTTTTTTTTTTTTAAATAGTGCTATGTTAGAACAGTAACACCAGAGCTATTCCGAGAGAGCAGGGAAACAGATGTAGGCAGGGAAAAGCAACCATCTTGGTGTGTGCACCCATGGTCACCCATGGTCACTGAAAGAAGCCTGTGAGAGGGGAGAAGAGAAAACAAAGCCTCGTCAAGCAACGGAAGAAAGGAAACACCAGAAACACACAGGGAAGGGGACACCTTTCCTCCTGACTTGTTGAAGAGGACATATTTTCTCCTGAGTCCCTTTCAAAGAGGCTCAAACTCTGACTGGAATCTCTACATTCCATCATGTAAAGGTATTACATGATGCCTTTACTCAATCTGCACTTCAAAGGGTTGCTCAGGCTCTACCAAAAAAAATCACCAAAAGCTCAAGAATTGCTCCTTTTTATGAACACCACAGGTCTACAAAACTTCTGCTCACACTGGCCTTTTCATAGGAAAAAGTAACAGATACTGACAATTTAAGAGCAGCAGTGAAAAACCTAAATGGAGAGTTACATCAGACCAGTATGAAATTCAAGTGAAAAAGAAGCAGCAACAAAAAATGAAAAAAAAAAAAAAGGCAAATTGTACAATCACTAGTTTTGAAGTTGCAAATAGGAAATCACAAATAACAACTAAATTTAAACTGGTTTTCTAATTTCTATTGAAATAATTGTATAAATGTCACTACATTGTTGAAAAAGTTTTAAAATAAAGATAATCTGCATAAATGCCATTTTGTCTCTTTAATCCCAAATGTGATTACATATTCTGAATTGCCACTAGGTTTTGCCAAGTATAGAAAATATTCAGGGCTTGCTCACAATTAGCAGACTAATTTTAAGAGGGCCAAACCTCCAGCTCTTATGAAAAGGGATAAGGTCCACTGAGGATAAGCATGCTGGTCTATTTACTCCAGCCAAGTTTCATGAAGATGCTTCACCTTTCATTACACTGTCAGCACAGGAGAATGCACTACAATGCTGCAAAGTAAACAGATTTCTAACACCACCACTAAACATCTCAGTCTGTCAATCAACAAACGGAAACTTCTGCTACATGGTGACTGAAGCATACCTAGGTTTAAAGGACTGAGACACCTCTGCAATCTTTTGTCTTCCCCCTCTATTCCAGTTGCAAAACTCTTCCAAGCTATGGGTAACAAATAGTTAAAATACACACAAGCAGGCATCCTGAGATGCACACACAGCAGTCAGCAAGGAGCTGGGAACACCCATCTGCAAGAGAATTTGTCTCTTATCATTCATCCCTGCTTAGTATTTTCTAAGAGCTGCAAGTCCACTAACTAATGGCCTGTCAGCTAGGTCTCTGCCCCCTCTTCTCTCATCTGCACTTTGGGGTCCATCAACACTATGGAAATAACTAGCTAGTGACAATCATCATTGGCAACAGCTCTTCTGATCCCCACTGAAATGGTGTTGAAAACTGTTTCCCAGCTCATGTAGAAGAGACAAACACATTTCTGGCCCACTACAGATTGATGCAGCCATCCTTTCCAGTAATGGGCTTGAAAATTGATTGGCCCCAATTACATCACGAGTAAACACATCATTTTCAGCACTAGTTGGAAGTGGTCCAGGGGGACCTACTGTTGACAACCACTGTCAGCAGAAAGTTAGTCTGTGAAAGGTGATTTTTCTAATGCAGATGTTGAACAGAGAGCCAGGAGAAACCTGACTTTAACATGATCTGCATCAAAACAAACATCAGTGTTTTGGTATGTTATTGATGGTGTTTAAGTAGATCAAGTTTAAGATCTGCTGATTTGGTCTTATCAGAAAGAATGTAAATTTTTTGTGCGTGTGGATTGTGATTGCACAATACCCTTCACATGGAAAAAAAAAAAAATCTTACTCCTAAGAGAATATTGCCTTCTTAAATACTCAAATTTACATAGTCAGTGAAACATTATGCATTCCCACTACTGATGTATATGTATGCTCTTTGCAGTCCATTTGACATGAAAAGTTTGCACAAATGTCAACTAACATTTAAAAAGCAGCACTGTTTTGTACGTAAGCATAAAAGAAAAGGTAGCAGGGCTCCCAACCTCCATTTTAAATGTCCACAGATGAGTCTATAGCAGTTTTCTTATTTGTAAAATCAGAATACCACTTCCTTATTTCATAGAATGTAATGTTGTGAGGAGAATCAGTAATTTTATCAAGTAGAATGTATAAATTGCTGTACAAATACTTAAGATTATTTTGCTATTCATAATGCTGGACCAGGTCATGGAAGATACAAAACTGCGATCCACAGCTTTGACTATCTTCATCAAATGTTATGTCCAGTTTCTATCCAGGCACAACACATCAAGTGTTTTCTTTGCTTTAGACACTTAACTGCCATGTCATTTCACTGTTCAGTTACTTTCTTCAATCCACATGACTCTCAACTACACATAAAGTGAACCACTATTTTGTGACCTGCTAGTTTTCTAAGGGCCACCACCTAATTGTGGTCCCAAGCTTGGAAACATTTAGATGAGCTAAATGACATAAAGCTCAGCACAGATGTAAGTAGGCTGATAGTCTCTACTTCATTTTTCTCCTAATGCCTTTCTGTGTGCTCAAGTCACATAATTACCATTCACTTCACAAAAAACAAACTGAATTTATGGAGAAAAGTACACTAGTTTGGATAAACATGCTTTCATTTAAGCATTATGAAGTATTTAAATTATTTTTCAAGTAAATTCCCATCATTCAAAAAGTCACTTTTGTTCTTTTGAGAGCAATTTACTTCAGTCCAAGTATGAAGAAGAGAAAAATGTTTTTCTTACACATGATTTCATTGTTCAGGGGATTTTTACAGTATTTTGCTATTACACAACTTCCACCCATGCTTACAGAGCATGTTAGTGATATTCAACATGCTGTGAAGGCCTACAGCACATGACAGTTTCAAAATGTCAGCACAAATGTATTGTAAGTTGAATACAGTCATAATTTTTAAAGGAAATTGTACATTTCAGAGAGTTGAGTATAAATGTCAGCCTTATTTTAAGGCTGAGTAAATAGTCTTAAACACATCCTAATCCTATTAGATGCAAACCCTGCATATAAAGGTTGAATTGGGTTGGCAGAATATTGTAGGTAAACATGCATTCCACTCCCACAGGTATACTTTACTGAGTGGTGGATAAAAGAGCTTTGTCCTTCTATTCCCTCAGTAGTTTCCCTCCTTTTCCCCTGCATTTGCAAAGCTGTGATTCTACAAATATCCTCACACAGTTCAGAAAGACAAGTGCTCCACATTTGGGATGCTCACTATTCCACACTGTCTCAAACATGAAAACCCATGTGGCCCTAAAATAAAACTGTACTTGCAAAACAAGAAGTATGCAGCTATTCACCATGGTGCCCAAGCAATTACCCACAGGAGCTGTGTAAGTCTACTGAACAAACTGGACTTATGTAACCTCCTCCTTTATGTGTAATAAAGATACATCCTCATTGCACTGCAGCTCCCCAGGAGCAACCAGAAAGAATCTGTTCTTAAACAGGTGAATCTGTTTCATCTTTCTAACTAAGAGTTTTATGTTGGATACCAAAGGTTTATTCAATTTTTTTGAAGTTGGCTCAGGCTGAAAATAATTTCCTTCACAATTTTCATTGTTTTTAACATGCTGTTAAAAATTCTCATTCATCAGAACATCCTTCTCTCCTCTGTTTCCCTTCATTTCCTTTTCTTTTTTTTTTTTTTTTAAGGGTTAAAGAAGATGAAACAACTGAATTTCATTTACTCTCACATCTGCTGTACCCTGCCCTCCTTAATTCTGTTAGCAGGTGATATACAGATGTAGAAGGGGAATGGGTTTTGTACTAGAATACTAATCCTCAAACCATGATGAATTTGATACAAAAACTCATCTCATGTTCCTCCTGATCCCACCACCTTCTCTGAGAGAGATTCCTATCTCTCTTCCCAAGATTATTTCCTTCCCTACTAGTCCACCATCATTCCTACTACTAGGTAAAAAAAAAACCTCTTGGTTATGGGAAGGGAAGTTCATGTTCCCAGCTCCTACCTTCCGTCAATCTGACATTCTGACACTTCCAAAAGCAGAGACAGACGGAGTTTGACAGGAAGAGGGAATTCTGTAATCAAGGCAGGTTGCAAATTACTGCTGGGAGTTCCAATGCAGGTATTTCCCAGCAGAAGAAAAAGTTATTCTTCAAACATAATGCTTCCCTGAAGTTATCCAGTAGCCTTTTAATCAGCAGCCAGCTGTCAAGATTCTGCACACACAGACATACATCTAACATTGACATTTAGTTTTCAGCCTACATAACCTAAGAATGTTTGTTACACTGTCAGTAGGGAAGATAAGGCAAATGTAAGATAATTCAAAAGGAACATCCAAGTTTCATTTTCTACATTAGTAGCAGCAAATAAATATCCCTTTCATCTGAGAAACAAGAGTTATAAAAAAAACCACATACCTACCCTGGCTTGATTTGGTTACCTAAGAATGGAAATGGATAATAACTTCAAAGGTATTTACATGTCAGCTGTTCTTCCTGGTTTTGTGTACCCCTTACCTCACAATTTTAGCAAATCTTCTAAAATTTACTTTTCTCTTAAGTAAGCTTTTTCAAAACCTAAAACTAACACGCAGTTTTCTTCAAAGTTGTGTTTGTATCATTCACAGCACTAATCTTGGTAGCATTTCTGCCCCCAGCAATAGTACACTGAGCTAGTACAAGCTAGCTTAACCATGAAATCAAACCTGACTTGATATTAATAAAAAATGAAAATACTATTATTGGGCTTTTATATTGTACAAACCTAAACAATGTAAAGAAGTTAAGAATCAGCTTTAAAACAAAAAGGCAACCAAATTGAAAAATATTGCTAAATAATCTAAATTAGTTGTAAATTATCTAAGTAAAACCACAAGAACAAATAATTTGGTCAACAGTAAAAATTACTGGCAGGCATCAAACTGAACTCTATGACTACAATTCTATAAAGTCACAAATTGTTCCTTCAAACTCCTTTGATACGTATCCATGAGATAGGAACAAAGTAATCCATGTGCATAAAAGTGTGCAAGAGAGAAGAAATAACCTTCTCTCCCCTATACAGAACTCTTGAAGAGCTATCCAAGTATTGACAATGTAAGACACTGAAATCTTGCTAGTGTTCATGTAAACAAGAAACTTATACACTTTTAAAGTACAAGTAATTTTCTTTCAAAATGATAGCACTTAATAACAACTACTACTAAAAAAAAAATAACTGCTTTCCACTGCAGTTTAGAATAAAAGTCGCATACCATTACTTCTAGCATATTTTATACACACAGCATGCCCCAAATTACTTTAAAGCAAATACTGTAAAATATACAAACTGATGAAATAAAAAAATATTCCATGTCAAATTCATTTCATTTAGCTGTAATAGATATATCTACCCAGAACAAGCAAGCTCATTTCAGGTGGACAAGTACTTACCTCACTCTGGTACTTATTGACTTCCATGGCATGTTTAATATCTGGAGGTTCCTTCATATGTGCATAATCTGAAGTTCCTTTCTCAGCATCATGTTTTTGTTTATACAGAACCTGAAAAGAACAACATTATACTTTTGTGACCTCAGCAGAGCAGGTATAATAATATGAGCCGGGCTAAATCTAGTGTCACAGTGTGCCTGTATTCAGGAAGAAATGTAATAAATAATTAAGCTCCTTAATGGAACCAGAACCCAAGAACAGCTTCTACCTAAAACACAGACATAGGAGGCACAGTCAGCAAAGAGATTTCTCTGCGTCTGTTATTGCAATATAGATATGAGTAGACAGGGGAAAGAAAAAAGAAACAAAGAAAGAAAATTAACCTTAACAAGGTGAGAAGGCAGCCCAGAGAAAAGCATAAGCAAAAACTTTTTTAGCTCAAAACACACTTGAATCTAACAGTTAAATAACTATTCCAGGTTGGTATTTTTTTCCTGTTTTCTGAGGGGGGGAAAAAAAAAAAAAAAAGAAGAACTTGTTCATTTCTCAAAACCAAGTAAGTTTGAATTAAATACTCACATAGCACAAACGCCTATTTCTTCCACTGTCCGGAAATTACTAGCACATTATACATTTTGATTAGCCTCCAGGTTCATGAAGAAAAATAATATTTACATTCAATTGTCATCACGGTAAAAGAAAATGGAATCGAATTGTGAGTTTATAAACAAATTTATTTTTATAATAGAAACTGAGCTCAACGTCGGGCATTCATCCAGCTTTTTCACTGTACTGTGTTAGACTTACATATATACACAGTCACATACTAAAACTGCCTGAAAGGCTGATCTTGCACTTATCTTTGTCAGAAGCTTTTACGTCTACATTAGGAAAATCCACCAGGTTTTGATGTCTGAAGAAGCAGCAAGAACCAAGAAAATTCATTTCCTAATAGCTCTCAGGAGCAAGCATTAAAATAATCCCAAAGAAAACAGCAAATACTAAATAAGATTGAAAGCTGATCAGGAGGAGAAGCCTTTGAAACTAAACCCTTGATATCAATAAAAGAATACAGTGAAATTTTTGAGATGGGAACTCTGCACTACAATAATTTGGACTCTTTTAGGATAGGATACTAGAACTGTGAGAAAACGTTGTATCTGTTTGTGTTTAAGGCAGCAAGATTGCATCTGAGTCACAGATCAGGGTGCCCAAGGCAATACATTAGTATCTGCCCCGACTATCTCAGATTACAAAATGATATATGGTCTGAGAGACTAAGACAGAAAGCGGGGGGAGGAGGGTTTGCACTGCTACTATATGAATGAAAGTATCAAATTAGGAAACTTAAAATGTGCCATCTCCTTATAGAGTGTAAATCCAATATAATCAGGACTCTAGGGGGAAAAAAGAAGCCTAAAACCTTCCTATATTGATTACGTCTTGCAACTGGCAAAGCAAAAAAGCCTTAACAAGACTGAAGCACCACTAACAAATGATCCCCTGCAAAAGTGAGTTTATATAGTACTCTTGCTATTTCTCCTGCTTCACACTGTCACTTTCAAGATGTTCCCCACTTAATACCATTCTGAAAAGCAGACCCACACAGTTACTTCCGAAATCTATTATTTTACAGGCATTTCATTACATTACCACTTTGCTGGTTCAACATCTGTATTTTTCTGCTGGTGAATGGGCTATGTAACCAAGCCAAAAAACAATAGCACATCAACTCCCAAAAACTAAAACCCAAGAAAAAAACAAAAACTCCCCACCCCATAACTCCTAAGAAAATCAACAGAAATTACAATTGAGTGTCCGCTATCTTGGGAAAAGATGACTGTATCTTTAGCTTCATGTAAGAATATTTGACTTCCTATCTGACAGCTGTGTTCTTCCTCTTTTCACATTATTCTCAATAACTGACTTAAGTAACATGGAAAAGATCACAAACTAGGAGGAATTCAATACCTGTCTGGTTTAGTTTTGGACAGTTTAGTGCAGAACTATTCCCAGATCTGCAAATTAGTTCTAAAGTACATGAAAAAATCTTTATGAGGATTATTTAATCAATATTCTTAGAACCATTGTTTTACACATTAGCATGCATACACTTATTTTTCATTTCATGTTAATTTTCAGGTTTCAGCTAAACTGAATTTTCTTTATCAAATCTACATATGAAACTACTCCACAGAGAGATCAAGTATTACAGGTCACTGACGTAACCTCTACCCTGTAATGGCACCATTTATTAACTTGAGAAATACAAGGCAATTATTGAAGTAGGTAAGGCTTCAGATTGAACTAATTTGTAAGTAGTCATTTTTTATTTTTCTTATCTCTCTTGTACTCCAGTGTGTCAATAGGAAGCTGCATTAAGGAAGGCTTTGTGCTCTTTTAACTTAACTCTGATTGACCCTCTGGTTTAGAATACTTTAAGTACTATTAAATTTTAGGTTTTATATTTGCCTTTATAGTCCATAAACTGAGATCTGAACTTAAAAACCACAACCTAGTATTTTGTAGAGGGAAGTGTTCAAGAGCACAGAAAATGCCATTTTAATCTCTGTATAGAAAATTACATTAACCGAAGTATTTTTGTAAAACAAAACTAGAGAAGTCCAGGACACTAATGCCTGCTACCCTAAAAGAGATGAAATCTTGAGCATGAGATTTGATACCTTAAAAAAAAAACTAATTAAGAATTACATAGAACTCTTTGATAATGTGTAATATGATTGTAAATGATGTAGTAAACCACAAAAAGCTTTATCAAAAAAAAAAAAAGAGAAAGTAAAAGGAGGATTCTGCCCATAAAAAAAAAAAAACTCTAAAACTTTATCTGGAAGTTGAAAGTACCGCTAAAGATTCACTTGCCTCATTGTCTTGAAAAACAAACAGAAAATATTGCTGAGCATTGACATGTAGTTTCTATTTGAGCTATTGCCCTGTGCAAAGGAGAACATTAAATCACCCTCAGTTTACTTTAGATTATTCCTTTCAGATAAGAAGAAAAACAGTGCAATCTCTTCTTATGGCAGGAAAAAAAGTGATGAAGAAAGCAGTGGAACACATACATTTTTGCAACATTTAAGCAATTTTAAATACTTTATCATTGTTTGTGACACTTTATTAAAAAAACTGTTCTGTGTAACGAAGAATTCAGTACACAGGTCTTCAGACAAGAAAAAGACTTGGCACAAAGCAGGCATTGATCAGAAATTTTCCTTCAGAAATATTTTCCAAGGAAGACTGCAATTTTTCCAGAAAATGTCCATTGCCTCTCAGGAAAATCAAAATGAAGGCTCACTGACTAGACTGCTCTCATCAACTTTATTCTCTCATCTCCAAAAACAGGGAAATGGGTGAGACTTTTGTAGGCTGGCAAGGAAAGGGAAGTAACAAGGTGGGGACAGACACTTCTCCTCTCTCTAGCTTACCTTGGGGACAGTTATGACAAAAGTGAATGGGAGGAAAATGTGGTTGTTCACTCTCAAGAAAGCTATTTAGAAGGCAACAGTCAAATTTTCTGCATAGAGGAAAAAATAAAATTGATAAAAGCCACTCAAGTATGTGGGTCTGAGACACTTGGTTTTCACCCTCCTGAAACATTTTTTTTCCCCATAAACAGTGTCATGGGTTTTTTTCTCTCAAAATTTTGGATATATTTCCTCCTCTATGGGTATTTATTTCCATCTTTGTGCCAGTTTTACATAAAAAACTGAAGAGCACATGTGGGCTTTACACAAAAACCATCAGAAGTCTTGCTTTAGTCTGTCCTGTGCATCCTGAGAAGGGAATTGAGCATGAATCATGACTGTCAATATGGGGAGACAGCTGCACAGGAGAATCACAGCTGTTCGGGTGCTGTACTCTCCACTGCAGTAAGATCCTGTCAGTGCTGACATTGTGTGGCTGGAAACCTACAGAACGAGGTCCTGGCTCTGCTGAAGTCAACGACAATCGCCAGATCAGTTAAAGCATGCAAAAGGGATGGATGGTGCTGTGGGCATCGGTTTGCTCTGGAGAGGACAGTGGAGCACAGCTGTAGGTGGGGATTAATTTCTTGATAGAAAGGCAATTTCCTCCAACTTCCTAAATTATGACTGTGATCTGAAACAGTGTATAATATCAATACATTAGGCTAGATGTAGGTAGGCTGAAAACAGAGCTTCTAGGCCATAGCAGTGCAGTAGCACCGTTCCAGGATCAAGCACCAAAGCATGGGGGAGATCATTTGCTGAGGATGCACCTGTGTAAGATCACCTGGCCGAGGCATTTTCACACTTCTCAGTAAGTCAGCGCCTATTTAAAATCAACTTAGTATAACTGAGAAACAGACTGCAGTTCTATGCTTGCCACAGCCTTTTGCAGGAGGGTTGGCAGAACAACCTCTCCTTCCTATGGCATACCCGTGGTCTCTTCTTGTTGAAGTAATGACCTGTAAACTTACAATTCCAGAGAGACAGATGCAGTAGAAATCCCCTCTGCCATATCCTGACCCAGCTGAATTCTGAAATCCTTGTATTAGCTACTTAGGTACCACAGTGATAGGCACAATATGGATTAGATTTGAATACTGTAGAGAAGATTTTCCACTAGAAAATCCCCAAGGATCTCTCTCAAAGTAGCATTAAATTTAGGTCCAGTGCAACAGTAACCACAAGTTGGAAAAAGGCATCAGCGTATCTCTAAGTTTTATGGTAGATTATGATTTATAATGCATGTATTCCTGAGGGGATGGTATGAATTTTACAGCAAAAGTTTCTGCTTAAATAAAACTCATCCTATATGCATATATGTTTCTGTGTGACTACTGGATGATTGAAGAAAAACCTCAAAATATATCAATAAAAATACTTTTCCTTAAAAGGTTGGGGTTTTTTTATAAATCAAATGGTTTCATTTTTAGTTTCAGTTATTTATCTTTTCTGCCACATCACTAATGTTAATTAACCTCACTTGTGTAAACTAATGCAGAATGTACTCATTTGGAATGAATCCAGGAGTAAATCTGTGGCAAACTAGTTAAGTAATTTTTTTTAAATCACATTGTTTAAAAATGTTATACAAATATAATTCCCAATTTATTTCTACTGTAATTCTTCTAATCACTCACTTTACAGTTAAATGTCACATTGATGTCATTTTATCTACTGTGCTGCTTTAACTTGAGTGTACATATGTTCCATTTCAAACTATGAAAACTAAAATATACTTTATGTTATTATATTTGCTTAATATAAGCCTTGATTAATGCATTGTTTTAAATTAAAACATTTCTCCACAAGCTGTCCTGAGATTTCAGTGCTTTCTTTTGTTATTAGTATTTTCCTTTGAAAAACAAATTCACATTAGAAGAATGCATACTGAGACACAATCAACAATACAGATTTAAGAACACATTCACTTCACAGACTGGCTACATTAAATCATACGGATGAGAGAGGAGAAAGGCAAAACAAGAAAAAAGTATTTGACCAGTCTCTAAATGCAGTGCAATGTCACTGAATTCAGTAACTCCTCATTGCCTTCATAGATTTCTAATGGATTTCATTGGATTCATGAATGCACTAGCAATTTTTAAATTTATATTTAATAAAAATGGCAAGTAAGGTTGTCAACATTTTGACTTCAAGAACTACTCAATTTTAAGTTATGCTGATAAACTCTGGATGATAAATTCACCCAAATGAATCAAGGAGACAATCACATATCATTCAAATATATTGCTCAAATTGGTCATATTGTCATACAACTCATCTAAAAAAACATTGTTTGTGATTCTAAAGTCGTACCTTGCTCTGAAGTTGCATTAATTCTTTTGCAAATACACTGTCAATTGTGGCTGGCATCTGCTGATAAAGGCAGTTGGAAAGGTCTTTCTTAGCAGCTCTTTTATACTTCACCTAGAGGGGAGAAAAAGGTGACATATGATGCAGAAATTAAGATACAGTAATCACACTAACTTTCTTCGTCTGTTAAATAAAATGACATAGACGATTAGAATGGGAGTCAGACTTTTAAATAATAACTTTAAAATACTGTAGGTATGTGTGTCTAATTCACAAAGCAATGCAAAGTACCTCCTAATTAAATTCAATGATTTTGGGGGAAAGCAGTTATTTTTCTATCCTTTTTAAAACTATTTCCAAACTCGCATTTTTTTTCCTTTCCATTTTCCCAAGTTTTGCACAACAGGAGCAGTGAGAGGCCAACAAATAAAATCCTACCAATTAATAAGTAGTAGCAATTAAATGGAACTGGAAAGGAGAGAAACACTGAAGATGTCTGACACCAATTCTACTTAATACTTTCCTATTACAGACTCATTTTTTAATTATTTTTTATTTATCCTGTACTTTCTCCAGTGCTCAGTATTAGAAATTCCTCACAAAAGGGTGTACCATTGAACCATAGATTGGTTGGGGTTGGAAGGGACCTTTAAAATCATCTAGTTCAAATCCCGCCCCCCACAGGTAGGATCACCTCCCACTAGACCACGTTACAGAAAGTCCCATCTAATCTTGTCTTGAACACACCCACTTATGGAGCTCAACTCTTCGCCCTGGGCAACTTGTTCCGGTGTTTCACTGCCCTCATAGTAAAGAATTTCTTCCCTATATCTGTTCTAAATCTACCCTCTTCCAATTTGAACGCGTTACCCCTCTTCCTATTACTACACACCCTTGTAAAAAGTCCCTTCCCAGCTTTCTTGTAGGCCACCTTCGACTACTTTGACTGCTTCAGCTGCAATAAGGTCACCCAGGCTGAACAACCCCAACTCCCTCAGCCTGTCCTTATAGGTCAGATGTTCCAGCCCCTCTGATCATCTTTGTGGCCCTCCTCTGGACACACTCTAACAGGTCCATGTCCTTTTTGTGTTGCCGGGGGCTCCACAGATGGATGCAGTACTCCAAGTGGGGTCTCATAAGAATGGAGTAGGGGGGGACAATCAACTCCCTTGACCTGCTGGCCACACTTATTTTGATGCAGCCCAGGATACAGCTGGCTTTCTGGGCTGCACTCTCACATTGTTGGCACATACTGAACTTTTCATTGACCAGCACCACTCCCTGAGTGTATATCCTCAGGACTGCTCAATCCATACTCCATCCAGCCTGTATTTGTGCTTGGGATTACCCCAACAATGAGATAGGTCAGAATTTTTATGAGAGAGGTCAGAATAATAGTCCAAAATCTGAGAGGCTTTAGCCTCAGATCTGTTTCCCAAATTCATAGAACAATAATGTCAAGTATTGCTGTAAAAGTAATCATAAATATGAAAAATAACTTATACTGTCTAACGTCAGTAATTTACTACACTATGCAATATACAGTTGTTCATTAGAGACTAGTTCCCTATATGTATTATATATACCAATTATTTGCTGTAACAGGTTGCTGTTTCCCACAATAGAGGGCTCTTTTTCACTGCAGTAGACATGCTGTTGAGAATTCCACTGTTCAAGTTTTGTAAAACCAGGTTATGGGACACTAGAGGTCAGCAATTTGCAAGATAAAACATTCATCACATCCTTGGCTTCAGGTAGTGCTGCAATAAGCCAAGTGCTCAAAAGTGTGGTAACTTATACGGGTTGTAAAATTTTGAAATATCTTTAAATCTCTAAATCTTTGAGTAATAATTACTAGCTTTTCTTTGGCATCAGACAATGGATTTAATAAATTATCTATATTGTGCTTTTGTAGACTACAATAGTCTGTCTCTTGGAAACCATACTTTCACATCACATTTATGCCCCTCAGGACATGCCACTCTTTCTCAGAAAATATGAAGATAAACATAACAAAGTCATTCATCAGATGCATTTATACTGAATGTAGCCACACCGCAAACTGATGTATACCAGAAACAGAATATAGATTGTATTTAAATTACATCAGTCCAGACAGGGATATGGGTATGTTCTTTGTCATAATCATAAGGTAGCACAAAAAATAAGACACTAAAAATTTAAGGCTTCAAAAGGTCACAGTGACAGAAAAATCACTCAGAACCAGCAGTTCCTTAACAAAAGTGACTCTCTGTCAGGTGAAATTTCTGCTGCTGTTCTCACCTGTGGAAAATAACCAGAGGTGCAATCCTATGACACCTTGTATCTGGGACATGAAGGTACCCAGCAAACTCTGCTGTGGCATTTTGGAAGCTGCCATTCTCTCTTTGCCAGGACCGTTGTGTCTGTGCTCACCTATGCGCATGCGAATGAGACCTACAGGCTCTGACAGGGGTATGCATAGATACGCTCACAAGTGTCCAGGCCACTTGCAGATGCCATTGATCTGATGTCTGCCTCTTGACCCGTCCTGAAGGAGGACAGGAGTGATAACACGGTAACAGTTTCCTTGCCTCCCGCTTGATATCAGGCTGCGAATTCTCCACAGCAGGGAGACTATGCACAGGTATAATTTCCAAACCTCATCACTGTATAACAAACACCAAGAAATCCTTTTCCTATTGCTCAGTTTATCTAACCATAAAATAGGACAGCTAGGACTGCATCAGAACCATTAGAAAATATCTTGGCATCCCAAAGCAAGTGTTGCATAACTCCAAATTATTATTTGTCACATATACAGAATACACTAATTACAGCGTTTTAAGTCACTTCAGCTTTAAATAAAAGTATTATCTGAAATAACCATGTTTCTCCTGCTAACAACCACCATATTCAATTGAAAGTTTTTTTGCAAAAGATAAGAAGCAAAGAGAATTCTTCAATCTTTTAGGTCTTACCTCAGAAATAAAAGCACTGAGACTTTTCGCATGTTTTAGCTGCGGGGTGTCAGGTACAAATATGCACTTTCCTTTAGATTTTTTAAACTCTTCTTTATAGTGTATCTACAAAAAAAGAGAAAAAAGGATAAAAAAGTTCAATTGATCTTTTTTTAAAAAAAGGAGAAAAATAAATAACAGCTATCTTTGTTTAATTTTGGGGGGTTTTTTTGGGTGGCAAATACCCAGGCTGCAAATACCTCAGGCTGGATCAAATTAAGCTGTAAAGGGAAACACCCGTTTCTCACACACAGTATCAAGGGCTAAGTAAAAGTCACAGAACTCTTTAATAATAAAGATGAAAAATATATAATATTTCTCTACATCTAAAGCACACTTTTCACCACTGTTGTAGATGTTCTAGTATCTCTAAAGAAAGGAGAATCAAATAACTGATCTCCTTGGTCCTTGATCTCAAAGATAAAATTGTTAAACTTCTAACACAGACCTAGCAAGTACAGAACCTGTATAGCATAATCAAATGCCCCTTTATGAATATATAAATTACGTCAATAAATTCAAAAGGCCACTGCAAAATCATTGTCTACAAAGCAGCCCATCAGTCATGACATGCAAGTAATAACAGAATTTCTTTAAGAGCAAACATTTTAAGTTTAGTCATTTTTTAAATCATGTGTATGCACAAACCATTTTTGAAGCAAAACGCCATGATATATTTTGCAAAAAGACACAAACCTTTCTATTTTTTTAAACAACTAACATTTTTCTTACCATGAGGCAAACAATATGGGCAGGTATAATAATCACATGACTGTTGATGAAGTCAGAGTTACTGTTTGTATTAGTGAGGCTGTGAGAAGAACAAACTATATGGATATGGTGAATACATAGGGACCTTTATTATGTAAGGACTACGTGAAGAAAGATTATTAATTACAGTGAGGACTAAATAAGCTTTTAAAATAGACACTATGTGTAGAGCCTTCAATGTTTTTAGTAACAGTGCTTTGTTTGAACATAAAATAGTTTAGTTCAACGCAAATTGAATTATTTAGTACTAAGCTTTTATGGTTATTATCTGCTACCATTTCTCTAACCTCATTTTCACATTCTGCACAACAGCAACTTGCATTTATGCACTCTAGACTTGCCGACAAGCACTGACAGAAGCAATATGATCTGCATCTGAGCATTACAGAAATATGCTGTCTTAATTTCCTCTTTCTTTGAATCCTTAATGGATATCACAAGTTCTAGTCTACGTTCCTCTACAGGGACTTAGCAAATTCTTGAGAAGGATGGCAGCTTACAGAATCAGCTCCTGTACTTTCTCATGCAGACTTCTAGTCCACCGCAAAATCATAGAATGGTTTGGGTTGGAAGGGACCTTAAAGATCATCTAGTTCAAATCCCTCTGCCATGGGCAGGGACACCTCCCACTAGACCAAATTGCACAAAGACCCATCCAACCTGGCCTTGAACACTTCCAGGAATGGGGCAATGGATCAGATGAAGCCAAATTCATCTCAAACTGGTGACTACAAAATCCTCACACAAAAAATAATTTTGGTTATTGTTGAGCTCATCCACATTTGTACTACTGAAAAAATCCACATCTCATTACTGAATCATATTGTCTGACTTTGTAGATGACAGTCTGTTCTAAACAAAAACTGTTTGGTGAATGAGTGTAAAATTACTGTGTATCATGATTTTACTCATGGACCCACAAATCCAGTGGTTCATGTAACCTGTCTGTGACACCATAACCCTAAGTAATCACAGAGCAATTCACAAAAAGGGCAGTTTTATGATAAACATGAGCAGGAACTTACAGAATATATGCATGCATGTACTTGAAAGTGTATGTATGTATGTGCACATGAACAGCTTGAAAAAAACCTTTGAAGAATTTTGTTCATCCACAGTGATATAACTGAGAAGGAACACAGGAATCTAGAGAGCTGTCTGCTGGTTAGGTTTGATAGCAGCTGAGTATAAACTCATGTAAAGCTGAGGCTGGTAGAGCAGATGGAGAGTCTTGCTGCTCACAACTTGGATAAATCATCTACGGATATCTGAAAGCTGACTGTAATTACAACCATTTTCATTACAGCACAGTAATTACATTCAAAAATCAAACATGAAAGCTTCCTAAGGTATCTTTTAATTAGGAGGGGGAATGACATGACACTACTAGAAGAAACAATCTACTACTCTGATGTAGAAGTCATGCTTTCAGAATAACTAAAAGCAGTAAAGGACTAATGCCACCTCCTTACTCCTTTATTAATCACATTTATTTTAGTAACCCATAGAGGCCACAAAATGCATACAGGCTCAAATGAGCAATTTAGAAAGGACATATGAAAAAATGTGTGGTCACTCTGATCCAACAGACTCCACTCTGTTACTAAAGTGTCTATATTGCTTGGAATCAGAAAGATGGAAGAAGAAATGAGGTAACTATAAGGAAGTCATGACATCTGCACTTAAAAGCATATTTATTGTAAATGACATAAGCAAGAGGTCTAAGAAGTTGGTTAAGAGTGAACATAATCAGTGGCTAGAAGGAATAGGCAGAGAAGCTAACAGTCCTCTTTGAAGTCTTCGGTTACAAACTAAAATTTCTAAAATACCAAAAAGGAAATGTTGCCTGTGAATGACTTACCCTTCACCACGAAATACACTGTTTAGGTTGTACAGATCTGGTAAGACTTGGGAAAATAAAACACCCAACTCAGTAATTGTCAAATAACTCACTAAAGGCCCAATTCTTAATAGCTCTTTCCTGATCCTTTTCTCCTCCCTGACTCATCATAAAACTGCTCTGACCAGCAGCACAGCTATCCAGCAAAGTGGATTAAAATTCCCAGACAACCACCAAAACAGTAAGCTTCAAAATGCATTTTTATTCTTAATGGATGTTATATGGCAAGATCAACTTTATAAAAAAAGGGCATCCAACCTTTAAGCCTCCCTGGCTTGCCCATAAAATTCACCTCACTCATCACCTGTTCCATCAGCCTTTTTCATAAAGGAAACAAAAGAGGAGACTATGGGATAAAGCAAAGGCTCCAATGGTAACAGCTTAATCCAAGCAGCCACCTTTCTTTTGTATTCAGGGCCACATATTAATATAACTTTAAGATAAATATACTTGAAAAACTGTTCTTAATACCTTAACATCAATGATGTAATCGCATTGACAATCATCATGTCAAGAACCATTATAGAACTGTCATCTCTCAAAGATCCATTTAAGCTTAGAAAAACCACAAAAAGGCCTAAACCTTCTTATCTAGCTCTTAAGTTAGACCAAAAGGGAACCTTTTTCCAATAGGGATTTCCTTTCCAATTCCACATTTTTAAATTTAAAATCTCTCCTAACACTAAGAGCTGTGTCAGACAACAGATCCATCTAATAGAAAATTCTCTCTGGCCACAGAAACCAAAAGAAAAGCATGAAAACAGGGCAACCATAAAGTATTATTGCCCCACAGTATTTTACCAGTCTCCAGAAATTTGAACCCCAAAGTCCTCCTAGAGGCTGTGACTAAGAATGGTGAGTCCAGAGGAACACCTCCATCTTGAATTAGATGGTCACAGCCCTATTGGTATGAGTGGAAAGGCACTCTGTTTCTGCACTTGACTCTAGGTCTCTTTAGTCCTTATTTTATAACAAAGAGCCATGTTGGGCTACTACTACACAAGAAGTAGTAGCTTTCGCTCTAGGGAAAAAGCAGCACTGGTATCATACATTATCAAAATTCAGTAGAATTCTCAGAAGGCAGAGTGTCTGCCTCTACCAAAGAGGGTAGTTTGGTCAATGATCATTTTACTTATGTAATAATTCCCCTTTCTCCTTAAAACAGTATTCACATCACATCACACTATCAAAACAAAGAAGAGATGAAAATATGTCAAAATACAAGTAATACACGCCAACAGACAGGCTCAATTTCAATACAGAAGAGTAAATGCCTAGAAAGGAAGGTAATTTATATAAATTAAACTTATATGACAGTTTTGAAAACATCTGTGAAATAAAAATGCATAATGAAGGGAGATTAAATGAAATGGCTTTAGGGAGAAACAATCCAGGGGATATCACAGCCACAGAACAAACATCTGCCAACCTCAAACGAAAACGGGTATTTCCTCGAGAACTGGAGCACGAAAGCACTTCACAACTTCCCCTACATACAGTTTGAGGCTGACAGTTATGCATGCACTAAGGGCTGTCATTGTAACAGCTTCTTTAAACCATGCTGCCAAGTTACAGTCAGCCTGCAAAGAATGCAGGGAAGTGCAAAGCAACCCCAGTATCTCAGTCATAAGCAGTCCTGGCGTTGCGTTCTGGTGGAGGAGCTGTGCTGACAGCTCCAGTGGCAGAAAGTGGCAATCACCCTGTCTTGTAGTCAGCAAGGACACAGGCTGCTGTCCCAAGGTCATCTGAGGGCCCAACCGAAGGCCTCGTAAAGCCACCATACACAGAAAATGTACAGATGTAAACCAACAATGCATCTACACAAACAGCTGTTTGTGCAAAGATTCATGCTAAAAAGGATAAAGAATATATTAAAAGTTCTGAATGCTAATGAGTCAAAAATCAAAGTTAAAAATGGAAACTCCTTGTAGTTTTTTGGCCTCCACAATGAAGTATACAGGGTGAGGAACTTAACCCCCAGGCCAAAGGACTTCACTGGTCATAAAAAAATTCCAATTATAGTAAAAATTCTTGGAAACAAAATTCACCCCCTATACATACACATATTCCACTCAAGTCAGTGAAGGAATATCTGATTTCAGTAGAGGCTGAATAAGTCCCCAAAACGGAATGCCATTTTTAAACAGTCTCTTCTTTGAAATTCATTTGGTCCAGACCATTACACATTACTACTGCTCTGAAAGCATTTATGACACTTTGCAATTGTACTTCACACATCTCAAGGAAAATCTACCACACTTGCAGGCTACAGGCATCACAAGTTTTCATCAAAAGCCCACAGCCCTGAATCATTACAGTCTTCAAAAACCTAGCTTGACCTAGCTATTCACCTTAGCTCCCAAGTCCCTGCAAAAAATCAGAGAAAATACAACCACTCCATTTGTAAGTTAATTAACAGCCACAGCCAACACTACTCCTAATGGGTACACAGCACACTAATAATTCCTTTTCAAGGAAAGAAAATACTTCTTCATCATTTTTTCAAGGAATTTTTGCCTTTAAGAACAGCATCCATGTTTACAAACAGGTACCATGGAAGCAATAAATGTTATTTTGAGTCAGATAAGTGCTCCCGGTCCATTTTCATTTTGGCCTTTACATAAGTTGACAGGTACTTACTGTACCATATGCCATTTTTTAAAAAAAAGCATGAAGATAACCATCAGTAAAAATATTAATATCTATTACTTCCTAAAGTAACTTGAGATTAAAAGAGAGTCATCCTTGTAGATTCTGTTAAAGATCTATCCAGTTTTCAGCACTCTTTCTGTGAAAATTGAAGTATTACCAGACACTGTATGGACAAAGCTGAGGCTTTAACCTTGTCAAGTCACACTTTCAAGCCAGCACTGTAACACGTACACATTTCAGACACTATTTTTCTGAGTAACATACTCTTTTCTGATACATAATCCCTACTATTTTATACCTTAAGTGTAGATTCTGTACGTTCTACTCTCATGAATCAACATTTTCACCTTGAACAATAACATTCCAGATCTAATCACCATCTCCACAGGAGAACTATCACCCAATTCCCATTCACATGAAGGGGGGAAGTTTCTCTTCCGACACACTTTCCCAAAGAGACACAGAAATAAACTTCCACCAAGGTATATCTGATGCTGTTACATTGAAGCAACTGGATTTACTCCAATTTAAAATGTCTTGGATCCTATCTATCATCTTTCCATAATGTCTGTATTTGATCAACAGTTTTAAAAATCTACAGTAATTAAGTCAAGAATTTGCTAGCTAAATAATTTTTAGATACCCTAACATTACAGAGGATTCTTCCTAGAAGTGTAAGTCGATAATATGCTAAGCAGTTTTGAGCTTCTATCACCACAGATCAATAGGTAACACTCAAAATTAATCTATTTTATTTTTATCCTCTCTTCTTACAGCTACATATACTAGCATCCAGTTCTGTTCAACCAATCAAACTCCATAGAATTAGGTTATAACTAGAAAAAATACTGCAGTTTCCTGATGAAATCAGCCAAGGTGTTCTCATGGGAGACACCCTCTGTGTGAGACCCACTTTTTGGAACATTCTCCTTTTCAGGGCATATGTTTCATACCATCCAAGCACTCTCAAAAGCTTATCCTTCTGCATCTGGTAGTTCAAGGTACCCAAGTAGGTTGTTATTTTATATCTTTATATCTGAGCCTTAGATGGACACATGCTGCACCGTACATATCTGAAAAAATACACATTGTAAATATAAACCCACTTGAAAAAGAGAAATGCAAATGCAAGGTTGCAGTCACCATCACTTACATCACTTATTATTTCACTGCATTTTCGGGCCAGTTCCATATTTCTGTCCTCAATAACAGGCTTGAGGAAGACCTGTAAGAGAAAGGTAATCATTCCAGGCTTGTTGTCCTAAAAGGTTAACAATAGAAGGAAAAAAATACTTTTCAAAGCTATTGGGGTTTAACTCACATTTTCTTCTTCTTCTTCATCCTCATTTTCATCTTCCCTGAGATCCTGAATGACAGATACTCGCATTTTAACACTTTGCAGCAAACAACAACAAAAACTCTACAAAGGTTCAGCACTGCAGGAAACAGCTCAGACCCTACAGCGTGCCTGGAATGAATGCTTCATCTGTGCCCTCCACTGCACTTAACCCTAGCAAGGCTCCTTCCTTATTTAGGCAGCACTTGCCAATCTTTATCTGAACAATTCAATGTGAGTGAACTGAAAGGCATTGCAGATGGCCTTGCTAGCTATCAAATGCAGCAGAGCTAATGCTTTCTTACAGATAAAATATAATGAAATGACCTATCTCAGTCAACTCTTTTTAAAATTACTTAATTAAAATACTGTGATGCAGTTAATTAATAACATAAGTAATTTAGTAAAATTAACAAGCTTAAAAGGGGAACATTGACTCTAGGGTTATGGGAAAACTGCCAGATTCAAGGCACAATTGACTCCAAAACAAGTTATCATGGAACTTTATTTTGTTGGTGCAATAATAGAGCTTTTTGATTAAAAAAACCCACACTACTCTCATTTTTCAGTAGATGCAACTGCTAGTATATTTTTCAGGAAACATCCCTCTTCCACAAAGCACATAAAATTCCTTAAATGCTTGGCATATTATGTCAGCTGAAGGCTAAATCTGTTCATACATAGATACAAATACATCTGCATCCTTACAAGCATAGAGGACTGTGTATTTACACAAACATGAATATTTCTTCACTGCTGAAACTGTCATGGTCTGCGGTCTCATAACCAACCTTGTCCAGTATTGCCATTGACTTCAGCTGCAACAAAACTGGAAGATATCCTTATTCCAATGGATGCAGTGTCACAATGTTTGCTTCTGTAAAACAAGCAAGCAGGTATTACATGACCAGTTGGAGTGACCAGCATTTTAATATTTTTTTCTTTCTGAACTGTAGCTTGTATACTTCCTATTTTACAGACGTCATGATTCTGAACTCCATCTAGCAAAGTGATTCACCACTACAGACCTTTGCAATCAGGCAAAGACATAAGGAACATGTCCTGTTAGAAAACCCCTTCAAAGCATTTCAAAGTACTTGTGCCCAAGCACAATGTCCTTAGAGCTTATTTTAAAACACACATTTCCTTTGAAAAACAAACATTTCAAAGAAGAGGAATAATACAGCATTTGACTTAGTTAAGGTCTGAAAATTTGGCAAAAAGTTTGTGCCCCCTAAAAGGCACAAACTGCTTTCAATCTATAATAATTAAGAGACAGAATTATTTATACATTAAGAGTATAGAAAGCTTCAAGATTTTCAATTCTGCTATTTCAAATATGAGCACTTAAAGTTCAAATTTGGATTGGCATTGTTGAAGTTCCGGTTGAAACTTAGAAGTCTTGTTTGTACAGGTGAGGATTACCTGTAATTTATGCTGACTACTTTTGGAGCTCAAGATGTTCATCCTTGTGATAAGAATTGTTTAGTCTTATGAGTATACACAGTAACAGGTCTTTTTTGTTACGGCCACAGCAAATATATTCATAAAGAACAGACTCATGCAGGATTTCAAGGACCACATGTTAAGGAGACAGTACCTATAAAGGTGCCAGCACTTTTGTATTAATGTAAAGTAAAAACGTAGCACCACGGCTTCATGTGGGGATTTTTGTGATAACATCACAAACACTATATTCTTCCAGTGCAGTTAATTACCCTTTCTTTCCTACTATTTTTTTTAAGTGCAGATAATTAAAAGTATTTAAAAGAATAGAAAAGAGCTATTAGTAGCTGCAAAGCTTGCTGGATATGGGGAAATCTTTGGGTATTTTTTGTGCCAGAAAGCAAGTAGAGTCTAAATTACAAAGTGAAAACTGTTCAGGTTTGGAGGGAATCACCCCTATCACAGGGCATAAGTGAAAATGGGTTGCCTCTTTCCTCTTGACAACCAGCCCTCACATATTTATACACATTAACTAGATCCCCCTTTAGTCTTCTGTTCTCCAGACTAAGGAGCCTCAGGTCTCTCAGCCTCTCCTCCTAAAGCAGGTGTTCTAGTCCCCCAGTCATCCTCGTAGCCCCCCACTGGACTCTCTTGAGTAGATCTCTGTCCATATTAATTGTGGTTTTCCTGCAATGGTTTCTGCATAATAAAGATCTGCTTTCTCTTTAGCATGATCACTTCTGGTCAGCCCTGAAGTGGTCAGGCAGTTAGACTAAATGATCACTGTAGGTCCCTTCCAACTGAAATTATTCCATTGTGGTCTATTCTATTCTACTCTATGATCTTTAACTGCTTTGATAGATTCACTTTTTCCTGTTTTTGCATGATGTGGGTCAAGCTTAAGTAAGGATTCAAATATACTATGCCCCATGTAAATTCCATAATACAAAGATCACAAGACAGCTGCTGTAACTCATCCTATTAAAGAAAAGCATAATAGTATGCACAAGGGATGTGAGGGAAAAATAGCACAGTACCAACTAGCATACAAAAGTTATTCAGAATGGCACTCTTCACATAACAGATGCAGTACTAAACTATAGAACACAGAAAATTGACTCTTTTTTTCACCCTTCTCAAAAACGCTGAATATAGTGAATCTAGTAAATGTCAGATAACATTCACTGTGCAATAAAGTAAGACTGAAAATTAAATATATACAGATACAAGTCAGGGAAGAATTTGTTATGACCATTTGAGTTGCATGGTTTAAAAGCACTAGGATTCTATTAGCAGCCTGCAGGTCAAGAACAAGCTTAGGTTACTTCCATAAAAGTCAATAAATAATCTAGGATCAACAGTTTGTGTATTTTTACAAATGTTTTTAAAACTACTCTAAAAATAACAAATCTAATCTGAATAAACACCTAGTTAAAATGCTGAGCTTTCCATCCCCAAAACAATTATGAAGTATGTTGTATTAGAGATTATTTCTCACCTGCAAAACCCGCATTTTAACCAAAACCTCCAAACTGATGGTTCTGAACTACTTTCCACTCTATATAATGGAAGTTATGTATATAATGGCTGTAGACAACCTTCACTGTGTATGAATGTTTGATAGGGAAGACAAGCCTTCCAGAAGCAAACTATATGGTTTATCCTATGAAAGGAGACAGATGAATTTCCCAGCACTTATAGCCATCATTCAGTTGTGTCAATATACTACTTTTTGACATGAAACTTTACTCAAGTACTTGGTCTAAATGCGTATCTGCTGAGGTGGCAGAAGAGGAAGAAACATGTGGTATATAAAGGAGCCCGAGCTCCCATGAATATGAGTTGACCCTGCATGCAAATGGTTCAGGCACACAATCATGCAGCTTTCCTGCTTTGATCACACACAGCTGTGTCCACATCTGGCCAAAGCCCTGCCATCTCCATGCTCCTTTATCAATCTTTTAAGAAATACATTTGGGAGATGTTAGCCCAGAAAGTTAAAAGACTTCATCTTGTTTTGGCTCTGATAAACCTAACAATTTAGCAGTGACTCTCAGTACCATCACTGAACAAACAATACCACTGGACTTTTTTTTTGGCATAATCCCCAAAAGCCTTCTGAGATTTGCAATATCCACATGTACTGCTGAGCCGAAAGAACTTCTTTACCATTTCACACAACAGCAGAAACTGTACTTGTACAAGAAACATCACAATTTCAAACCTACTTAATGCAAAGTTGCTCACGGGGTACATGAAGGTTGCAAGGTAAGCACCAAGGTATTTCAGGTGAAACATCTGCATAGCATTATAGTGAGAGGTATATACACATGAATATACTCCTTTCAATTCTGGACTGAAAACCCTGTAAGAACAGAGGTAGAGTTTTAGTGCTTTAACTATCCCTCTTCCAATGAGTTGAAAATCAATCCACAGACATCACTGAAATGAAAATGTCATTTTCTGTTCTCCCTGGAAAGACACACATATCACTAAAGTGCAATTAATTCAACACAATGCAACTGGCAATTAGTTTTCAAAATGCACACAAGGCAATTGTAAGCACTGAGATTCAATTACTTCTCATTTCTAGAAATACTCTTCTGCCAGACTGGAATCTTCTGGCAGTCCTGCATAAGGAAGTTCAGAGTTAGGCTATCAGCACTACAATCACACACAGAAAGCAAGCAAAGGATCCCAGCCTACCAATTTTAACCTGTCGGATGATAAACACCACATTTATCAAAGACACTTTGAAACCTGCAAATACCACATGGTTCTAAGATAAAATTTTCATTCAACCCAAGTCACTTTATTTAAGATTTCAGTAAAGCAGAGTGGCAATGTTTTGTTTTGTTTTGTTTTGTTTTGTTTTGTTTTGTTTTGTTTTTTTTTTTTTATAGATAAATACAAACAAGATGTTAGAATACTGATTTGTGAATCCAAGAAAACCTAATGAATTTTCAATGCCTGATAAATACAGTAATACAGACATTTTTGCAAACACATACTCACAGAGATGTTTTCTAGCCCAAATGGATTTTCATGACAGAGCATTTAAAGATGTATGTACAGCATTTAGTTGTATCGTACAACTAGTCTCACATCATAATACCCAGTCTAATCTAGTTACCAGAAGCAGTGTAGCTGCACTAGCATGACACTGCCTGAGTTCACAAACTCTTTC